AAAAAGATTAAAGATCTTACACTTCAAAGATCACTCCAAACAAATAATTTCCCATTTTACCTCTAACGGCCATGATCATTCTGATCTCTCCAACTGCATCGTCACAGAGGGGTTTCAGTACTCCTGTTGTAGAAAGACATCCAAATTATCCTTTAAATTGGATCACACCTTCCCCCTTCTCTCAATGAGAGACTCATCTTCTAAATCCTCTCCATTCATTTGCAGATTCTGGCTTGACACACCTCTGCTCCTTTTCTCCCTTAGTTTTGACACGCATTCCCACCTTCTTACCTACTCTTTTTTTCTCCAATTCTTTATTTAATTTGCTATTTTTTCCCTCTCCCTCACAGGAGAAAAGAAGGTTCCACATCTGAAACATAGCTCCCTAGTTGAACATTTTTTACAGAAAATAGTGTGGGAGTCTGAAATAAGCTGCTCAGTTATGTTGTCCAAGATGACTGCTCAACTTCTTTTGAAGAAATGTTTAGATTAGATCTTCAGATCACCTTAAATATTATGTTGACCTACAAACACAGAGAATTGAATTAAAATTAAAACTGCCAACAAATGGGAAAGCAATTTTGTCAAATCCCTGGTGCATAATTTGTGACTTCCAATTTCAGACATCATTCAAGCTGATTCTGTCTTGTTACATGTTTAGGATGTAGAAGTAATATCCAATATGTCAATATTCATGTGAACAGTACTCACACAGCCTGTTGTCACAGAATGCAATGTTTATTTAATCATCTACCTAGGCCATTTTGTACTAAATTAATCACTTTAGATGGTCCATCACCATACATATCCTCCATTTGTTGAGGGATTGGTGTAGGATTATATCTTTCCTGATTAGAATAATGAGACAATGCACACATTTACTGAAATTTGTGTTTTCAGTAGTCTAGACGTATAGATTTCTTCCAGCCAAAAATAGAGAGTAAGCTTTCAAATGCAATATAGATCAAAACTGAAACAAGATTAAGTTGTTCATTAACTTCTTCATTCACCAATATGCCACCCAGACAGGTATATACTCTCTTTTGTAAGCTAAGTCTTTCAGTATCTCTATACTGTATACTGTACTTCCATGCAATCTTGTTTGAGCATGATGGCTTTGCAATGTGATTCATCTGAATTGCAGTCGAGACTCACTTTAACTGACACCACAATTTAGCAGACTGTTGGCATCAAAATATGTTTTATTTTGCAATTAATAAATTATATACTCATATTCTAAACCTTTTGTATTAAATTAGGTAAATCTCTTGAAACATTTTGTACATACTAGACATTCACTGTGATATTTATTTTAATGATATTTAAGCAGGGTTATATTCCTGACATATGTCTTTAATTAAAATAAGATTAGGTGGATTTTAAATTATGGTTGTCAATTAAGATTTATTTCCAATTTAAGCTAATTCATTCCTAAAACCATATCTATTAATATATTAATATAACAAAATTTGTTCTGACTGAACATTCAAGTCCCTTTTAAAATTGTGTGGGAAGTATTTTGAATATAGCGAATTGAAAGAACACAAATAGGACATTCTTAAGGTCACATGGCAAGAGGACAGATTGGGAGGGATGGAAAGGATGAATAAGGCCGCAGAAATACGATTTTTGCACCTGATAGAGCCAAACACAATAACACAAAAACAGCAACTTTACAATATAAATGATGAAAGCAGTGCACGTTTTTCTGATTTTCTGAGTTGATGACTTGGCTGATATCACTCTTCTTAATAGAACTCAAGTGGATAATTTTTATTTACTGTAGTTCTCCATGGCATGCACTGTTCAATATCACAATATACTGAAAATATCTTACTGTATTTCAATACAGGAACGTTTTCCTGCCACATCAGGCAAACTGGCATTTCAGAGAAGAGTAAAACTTTGTCTTTTCTTTAACAGAACAAGGTATTGTACTAGCCCATTCTTACCTTACTGATCACCCTGGTACCTTGCAAGTTTGAGCAACAGAAACAAGTGGATTCTTTCATTCTTTAATTTCTAAAATTTGAACCTTTCCAATTGGCTTGGCTGCAAAGACTTGCTTTCTTTTTTTAAAATATTTTTTTAGGTCCATGAAAGTTTGAATTTAATTAAATCATTATAATTACAAAGAAAAAAGACCAGTGTACACCATTTAAATTAAACATTGGAGTCCTCATTTTCGCTTTCATTGCAAGAAACATTGTTTATTGTTCCTTGTGTTTGTTTCAGTGATTACAAGCAATTAGTATTTTATGTTGTAATATAATGAGTGTGTAGGTCAAGCTTGCAGCTGTAATTTTTTAATTACATATTGTGCTATTTATGGTGTACAAATGTGCTGATATATTTTATTCTAGTTTCAATGTTAAATAATTAGTCTCAGTCAGATTTGATTTCTTCTCTGCTGGCTCCACCATTTTCACAGTCCTTCTGGTGCCTCTGTCTTAGACCACATACATCGAAAAAGCAGGAACAAATACTCGAGTCTACAAATCGAAATCTGACTTATTTGTCATGCATGTAGCAACAGAGATCAGTGCTGTCCCACAGGTTAATACAATATTTCAAAAGAATGGGTGCAGTAAAGTACCAGCACTTGTCTGGGCAGGGTCTCAGATGTTCACAATCACGTGTAAAATAGGTTTAAGAAAAGCAAAAACGAGAATAAAAAGGAGTTTTAAGAAATATAAAATGAGGGAACATTATGTGAAAAGCATTGAATTCATGAGATATTGTATTACTTTCTCTTTCATGTTTAGCTGGCCTTTATACTGTAGGTGGGAAGTATTTTTAATTTTGTATTTGACAGAAGCAGGTGTTTGTTTTCTTAAAGCACTTATGAGCATTAGCGAACAACACAGTGAAAACAAACATTAAACACAGTTTTTGTTTAGGACAGTCTAGTGGTAGGTGTTGGCATGTACAGTAGATTAAAGTCTAAGCCTTTCTTTCATATTATTGATATCTCTATTTTCACATACATATTCTATCATTTTTTAGACATTCCCTGTTAAAATGGCTGAGATAGAGAGAAGCCAAAAGTGAACATAAATATAGCACGAGCCTCAGAAGGCCCAGAGTTTTAAGTGTGGTGTGAAGGATAAAGAAGGATTTGCTAATTACTGTTTGTAGTTAATCTTGTAGTTAAACAGTTTTGTTCATACCCATATCCTTGAGGAAGAACTTAAATGTCCAGCATTTCAGTTTTCAGCTGGTGTTTAAACAAGGTGTTGTAAACTAAAAATAAACTTGAGTATTCTTAAGTGTAGCTGTTTGTGTCTCTCTGTAACAACGACTGTACATACAGTAACATCACTTTCCATATCAAGAGTTTAACATTTTTCCCCTTTGTACAATACAAAAAATTAAAAATAGGATGGGGAGTTTGTTTTTATATGTATCCCTTTATGTGTAAAAATATGAAAAATTAGAAATATAGGATATGGGTATATGATTAATGAACTACAGATAATACAGTAGAAGTAGTCATACATTTGAGCCAGTTTCATAACTTTGTTACTACGATGTGCTGAATCAGAGCTCAGTACTACATTTGTTTTGTGTAATAGTCTTTGATAGTTATGATAGTGTGGCAGTTAAGATGACTCTACTGAACATCTGTTATATTGTAGAAGTGAAAGCAGCCATATGTTTTCCAAATAATGTTTCCATCTTGTCACAACTAATTTTTAGCTTTATAGCAAATCATATTGATAATGTGATTTTTTTTCTTGTCCTTGTCTTGGAAGTATGCTATGAATTCGTAAGCTACTTACTGTACAAACTCTTATGCCCAAAACTGAGAATATAAAATTTCAGAACACATTTTTACAAAGCATTGGTAATCTATTAATCCTCAAGCTCCTGATTTTTAGTTAGGGTCAAATGCATTTGCAAATGAAATTTATGGAAGGTTAAGTGAAATTCACTATGTTGAATTAAGGTATTAGTGAAACACGGAGTTCTGTTTTCAGAACCACCCACAAATCCTATTTTCTGATTCACTTACCATTTTGTAGCATAAACAACATTTTTTGTATCTCCCTGCTAAGACAAAAGTCATATATGTGCTTTCCAAACGGAACAAAAGGGTAAGAAAATGCACTACCTCTGAAATGGAAAAAAAAAATAGACTAAACACGTTTATTCTTTTGTAGGAAATAAAACTTGCAGGCATTTGCTGAGTTGTTAACAGATAGCGAAAACCCCAGCTCTGCAAACATACACTTGCTTCTCCAAATGAGGACCAACTGCAGTAAACAGTAGTCACACACTGAACCATGAAGAGCAGACTACCAATCATCACTTTCATTGCACCAGACATATCCCCTGGCCTTCTGTAATGTACACTTCCAGTTGGCTCTTGCTAGTGTCAACTGCACACCAGATTGTCTGGCTCTTGTTCTTGCATTTTGAGACCTTCTGCAAACCATTTTTGCAGACACTGCAAGCACAGCTGCATAGTGGTTTTTGGCTTAGACATATTCCACTGGACAATAGAAGCGAAGTTTCATCCCTGCTTGGAGCATTTAAAGATAAATGCTTTTAATCATTGCCTATATTTCAAGTTAAAAGTAAAAAAAACCTCCCAAGGCCCTTAGTAAGAAACTGAAAGGTCTTCACAAACCATTGGAAGACAAAAAAACAACATTTTAAGACATCTTTGCCACAGTTATCCCGCTGTGTCTTAGTTTAAGGGAAATATCCATTTCTATGTTCATTTAAAATAAGTTATCCTACCCTTTTAAGTAAGCTCCTTAAATAGTTTACTTCAGGAGAGTAGGGTATTTTACTTTAATGTGAGGTAAATAACAAAACAAAGTACATACAGTATCCTCACAGTGTTTTAGAAAATATTTAAAAAACTGATGGTCTCTACAATATGAAATAAGTTCTGCTTTCAAATAAAAGGCTGCAGTTAGAGGTGAAAAAGTATCCGTGTTTTAATGTCCCTGTATGAATTAAAGAAAAACACCAATAAAAAGAGACTATAGTGCATAACACTGACATTTTTTATTAGAATTCATTTGTAACAAATGGAACTTGTGTCAGCAAAGAACTGATTTTCATACAGACTTCTTTCGCCACCAATGTAACCTAAGTAAGAAAATAAAAAGCACTCCTTTCATTCTGAAAAACGTTTACGCTTACTACTATCAGAGGTAATTGTATGATTCTTTTAACAAGCCATTTTTTTTACAATTTCATTTATTATTTTCAGTCTATGCATCCAGACGAGAGATAGATAGAGAGCAGAGAACACAACGTTTATTTTTGTAATGACACTCCAAGCTTGAATGGCAAAGCCACATAACAGATGGTTATGACAAAATCTGTCGTCAGCAGTTGTCTGCTGGAGTATCATGGCACCAGAAATGGATGCTCTTTTGCCACAAACTATTTTTTGTCTTTTTTTTAGTTCAATATTCTTCTGTGTTATTTACATACACACAAAGTGAACGTTTAAGTAAATTCTTACAGATGGGTTCAAGTAATATATTATTGGGTTTAGAATCAATAGGGCAGTGCATAGTACAAAGATATAGAAAGTGCAATTCTTCCTAAAGGGCCCCCATTGGCCATCTGCAATGTTTTACCATGCATATAAAAAAATAAATGAAAAGAAGTGGACCAGTACAAATGTACATAGATTGCTGAAAATAACTAAGTACAAAATGATACACAATGTCTACCCCTGGATGTAGAAAAATAATAGCACCTTACTCATCACACTTATGACTGCAAGAAGGAAAATAGAATGAAAAAAATAACCTTACTGTCCGATTAAGTGATTGGAAACAACTGCTGAAAATAACAAGGGAAAGAAAGCAACTGGAATGCACATCCACAAAACCAGAAGGAAGAAAACAAAATCAAATCAAAAGGTGCCTAGCGTGTGTGTCCTTAATTTCCAGGAAAAAAAAAATCAACACCTCAAAAGTGCATCTGCAACATCAGCAGACATACTGTTACACTTGACCAACTTCGATTGTCAGGATTCAAATGCTAGTTTTTTTTTTCCCCCAGCGGTTCTTTGTTCTAATGTGATTTTAACTGATTTTCAAAAGATGCGTGTAGGCGCAAAGAAAAATGTTTTGTTTTTCCCACCCTTGCCATGTTCATTCTTAAGGCCTTCCCAGCTGAGAATCTGTCCAACGTGCATTGCACTCTGTCCTGTTCAACATTTTCCAGAGTCCATCTAGAGGTAGCCTTCTCATTGTGTATATATATAAAAAGTGCTTTTTACTGCTAAGGTTTGGTCTTCAAACAGTCTAAGTGTATAGGTCTTCGGTAATGTGAATGCTTCTGTATATCTTCCTTCCTTTACGTATGCTTCTATCTAGCGAGTTATTTGCATGATTTTGTACCCTGAAACATAATACTGTTGCATGCTAATGAAAAGAACAAGCTGCTAAGACAATATATAAATATGCGTACATTTTCAAAGTGCTAGTAGATTCTACAAATACAAAATGATTAGGCTTAAATAAGAAAACCTAGAATATACAGGGGAATAGTGTGACCTGTTCTCTTGTTAGAAAATATATCCCATGCTCTGTCATTGTGTCTGTAAATGAAGGATTCACTGAACTCTACATGGGCAAATCCATTTAAGACCAAGAACCAGATAAGGCGACTGAAAATGAAACCAGGATCGTTGCAAGTGACTTATTTGCATATATAATTGTATATCATCTAATAAAAAGTAATACTTTAGATAAAATGAAATAGATATGAACTAAGTAAAAGGATAGATAAAACTTTTAAAGAAACATTATAAAAACAGGCATTAGATATAAGGCACTCTAAATGCAAAATTAAAACATTACATATTATGCTATTCAACATGTCTGAACTTTAGGAAAGTGATGTTTTTTATGCCTTGCCCTATTACATTAAAATGACATCTATATCGGCTTGTCAGCTATACTAAAGCAGCCTTCTGCACAAACCACTACCATTATGAAGCGAGAATTACAGAACACACTGGTGTACCTAGTGATACATGACAATCCCCTTGTCACTTTTCAGGGAATAACTATGCGATGAATCACAAAAGAACTACATAAATCCTATCTATAATACATCTATTTATTGCACAAGAAAAGATGCACTGTATCGAAATACTTTTTCTCCTACTGATGTGCATTCCAGTGAAAAATCTCTTCATTCCCCCCCTAATTACAGAAATCTCATTGTGGAAGCCTTTTGCTTTTATCTTTTTCTACTTACTGTTCTGTATGTTGTGTATCTCATCAGAGGCTGTTTTGGCAAACTGTATACATCACCTTGGAAGAACTAAGATAATTGGTAGCAGCAACTTCATACTTTGCTCATCCCTGTTGATTCCACAAAGCCCCAGTTTATCGCATGGTTGTTATGGGCATCATTTAATTTAAAAAAAAGACCAAAAAAAGGAAAATGAAAAGAACCCTGTAATAAAGTTATTTTGGTGGTGTTTAATACAGAGCTGCACAGAAATGTGCAAAAAAAATAAAATAAAAAAGCACACTAAAATGAACATTACCTCAGCTTGATGGTACAAACATTATAACAGTTCTACAGCTGAAAAGAAATGTACAAGATGGATGGAACAAAAAGGTGAACAATTAAGCAAATGATTTGTTTAATTCGCTTCAATAAATGAAAAAAGTTCGTTAAAAAAAGGGAAATAAGTTTACACAGTTATAAATGAAGCACAGGTCAGCAGTATAATACAGTACTAAAAAACTAAATCAGTAAGTTTTTTTATTTTTTAAACATTCCCCATTTTGTCCCCTAATTAATAATAATGAACTTTATAGAGGGAAGGGGGATATTACTGAAGCAGTGTCTTCTTTTCATAATTTACCAATATCTGGCGTCCTTTTAAATGAATTGTCTGTGTATACTTGGTTGTGAATTTCTTGAGATTTAGCTTTACAATGTGCATTCAGTTTTCAGGCGACTCTGAAAACAATTTCTCTGCAATTCCCAAGATTTCTGTTGTTGTTTTATGTTTCAACCCAAGATGAATCCTTGAAGCAAAAATTAAAAAAAAAAAAAAACTTCCTTAAGATGCCTCAACAGTCAGGATTCACTTTTTACGTTCAGGGTAGTTTTTTAATCGTGTAAATTCTTGGTCCACCTGGAATTTTTTTGTATTTTTTTCTGTTTAATATCCGACACTTAAATTGTCTTTAGCTAGAAGTTAAGAAGTACTTCTTAAGCACGTGTTTATGGCTCAGAAGAGGCTCTCTGGATCTTGAAGGGCCTGCTGTTATCCAGGATGGGCTTTTTACGTTGCATAGTGATCGAAGCTCCCAAGGTACTCCAATCCAGCTCGGTAGCAGAACTGGTACTGATCCTAGGTAAAGGACAAGGTCTCGAGTTAGTAAAATTAACACATAAAAGAACCTGCTGTATTTTGGACATAAAGGGGTCTATGTTCAAAACCCCTGGAATTTAAAGGGGGCACTGCAACACTATTTTTATATTACACAGTTAGAAAGAATCAGAATTGATAAGTGCATTTCAAAACTCAATACACAGTCACTTCTAAAACATCCAATTTACGTCACAAAATAGCCGAAATGACCAGGTACGCGGAACACCATCTTCTGCGGTTCAGAACAGGGCAACAAAACTTCCTGTGATGTGAAGCGGGCATTTCTCATTGTAAACAAACAGGCTTGTGAATTTGTATTTGAGATTGCGCAAATTCTTAGGTCCTTCATAGATCTTCTGTACTGGGGAAGATTTTACCATAGTCATTTGGTAAAAACATCAGGCAGACAAGACAGCTTAATTATAAGCACAAATCTATATACAGTCATCACTTATACAGTAGTCACTGATCTAGCTTTTACAGTCACGGATTCTTGCACAATTAAAAAGTCATCTGGGACTTCAGCCAGATCTGAAAACAATCTTTATTTCTCCCAGTAGAAAACAATTACTTAAACTGAATTTAAGAAAACTACCGTGTAATAGCAGGTATCTGCATAAAGCAAGGTAAGCACTGTCATTACTCAATTCACTCCACTTTCACCTGCACTTGTCCTTCTGCTGACATTAACTGCATTAAGCTGCATTTTCCATTATTTTCCGGTTGAGTGAAATCTAAAAATTGTCAGGCGAAATGATTTATATTTCACAATAGGTTTCTGTCCTGCTTTCGATACGCTGCTTTTCTGCAACATCACGTGAGAAATGAACAGGATCTGTCAGATACAGTAAAGGAGTCTTCACTGCTTCATGAGCATGCTGGGACACGTAATCCCTTTGCAACATGCTTTGCTCTTTCTGCAGGGCATGATTTTGCATTTGGAGATGCTTGACAAGGTTTAAAAAAATAAATTCTCAGTACATGTTCTGGCTGATTATCAGCCGCCTTATAAAAGAAACGTGTATTTTAGCATAGCAACTTTTCTTTACTGACAAGGCATGACCAGAACAAAAAACTGTAATTTTAGGAGTATGTTTTGCATTTAACTACCAGGAATTTATAGTAACCATGGGATAAAAATTTCTATTAAAAAATGGAAACAATCTAAAATATCAAACTACAATATGGAAATCAGATGGGAAAAGTTACAATTATTTTATTACGAATATCCCTAAATTGAAACAGAAGTCAGTGAACATGAAATGTAACTTATACTTAGTGACCATTCATTTGTTTGCTTTTCTTTCCTATGCAGGTTTTTAAGATGCTCACTTGGTATTTTTTAAATTCTGAATAGTGCGCATAAGTACTAATGAAGCATTAATTCTTCCCTCAAGGCTAATTTTCTGCCATATCTCACTCGGAGACAAGTATTAAAATGATTACAGCAATATATCTAGTTCAAGGCTTTAAAGGACACATTACATTCCCCCGCAAAGCTAATACAAGTAAATCCCTATTTAAAATGGCGGAAATGTTTATGTAAGGCTAAAATTAGCATTACTGAAGTTGACTTAGGACCCACACAAGCATTGGTGCTTCTTGGGTCTTAGATGTGCTTTCAAATCAGTCCTGTCAGCGCACTTAGTTGTACAGGGATTAATCCAGAATGGGAACTGCCAAGCACCCTTATGATCTGGAGTTTGAGTGTAGAGGCGACTTGTCTGTCTTCCGACCCGTCTCCCATGCAGGTGATTTTCCAGCATTAAACACATTATTTCCTTACCTCTGTCTGTACCATGGCTGGCCTCTGTGTCCTTAACATTTTGACAGTCTGAAAGATGTCCACCACACCTTCATACCTCATTCTCTCCAGGACAATGCTGAGTGTGATAAATACACCAGTTCTTCCAACACCCGCACTGCAAAGGAATGGAGAGAGCTTTAATTAGGTGACAATCAACCATCTAAAGGCTCTTTACACTCATGACCTCCCACTTATTAGGTAGTAATTAGAAAACAATAAACAATAAACACCAACGAGGATTTTTTCCACAGAGCTGAGATGTAATTTACTCCTTTGCAAGGGGCACTGTCAGCACCTTTATTAGCTAGGTATCAAATATACAGTAAATCAAAAGGACTTGGCGTTATGAATTAAATTAAATTTGACAGGCAGTGCTCTTGCTTCACAAAACAAAGAAAATATAAAGATTAGTTAGAATAATTTTTAGCTGTAACTACTACAATGTATTGCCAAAATTTTAATGAAGCAAGTTTTGATATTGTAGTTTAGACATATATAACATATACAAGTTCAAGTAGGTAGCTGCGTCAGCATGTGTGGGCTGCAAAGGAACAAGTAAAGGTTTATTCCATGATGAAAAGAAATTAGAGACAACATCTTCCTCACACCTGAAGAGGGCTTAACAGCCAAACATTGTCTTTTTTCTTTTCAACATGGAATTAACCTTTAGATATTACATAAAGAAGAATTTTAAGTAGCCAGTGTTGAACAATTATAAACATGTATTACAAATGCATAAGGTGATTTAGTTATTTTCAAGAGCTGCTCTTGTTGCTAGCAGAAACTCATTGATGTGTGGTCTTTACTTACCTACAGTGAACTGAAATCGGCCCATCCTGGCCAAACTGTTCTTTTGTTTTATGTACTTGGCCAATGAAGTCAATGAAGCCTTCTCCTGATTTTGGCACTCCTTGTTCTGGCCAATCAGTAAACTGAAACTGTCTTACTGTTCGCGACTGTCCATCCTGTAAATAAAAAAGCAACATGCTCAAGATCAGATAGCCTTCATTGACAAATACATTCTAAAGAAAGAATGTTTTCTCCAAAAATTGTATGCTATTATATATTCTAGTGAATGGCCTTAAAAATATTGATGTAAAAGGAACACTGTAAAGATTTCAGTAAAGAAATAAAGGTAAATAAAGAATTATACCTTTATTTAAAAATATATCAGACTGTGCTTAAGAGATATCTTATGACAGTCATCTTTTTGTAATCCTTAAAATCTAATCTTAAAACTGACTTTTATACACTAGAGTTTAATTACTGTATTAATGTGTGCATACTTGTCTATAAATCTAGTAGGAATGGATTCTAATAATGTCAACAGGCTGATGTGTGACAATGTAAATTGTGTGAACAAGGATTACAGTAACAATCTTTAATAGGTTGCTGTTAAATTTAGAGCACTGACTTCTAATGTCCATATTGTAGTCTCAGCTCTAGCTCTTAAATTTGATGAATAATCTATTAGTGCACTTCTTGCAAAAGCATATACAGATGTTGAATTAAAAAAGTAATTACTGGACACTAGTAGAAGAGTGAAAAAGCTTATAATCTGAGTCAAAAATGCAAGTATATTACGAGCTGGGAAGCCTGCACTCAGACAGCTCATAGATCTCTAAAGGGAGGAAGGGTCTTTGCATCAGAAAATATTTTGGATGCAAATAACCATAGTTTTGTAAACAAGCATGGACTGCAAAAAAATGATTATCAGGCCTCGTTGAACTCGATTGTATGGTGGCATTCAAAAAGGCTGAAATGTGAACATATAATATTTTAAAAAATGATTAACTCAAATGAGGATGGAAATTAAAACCCGAAGTACATCTAAGTTCAGAAATCTTTAAAATAGTACTACCCATTTTCTTATGTACCATAAAAGATTAACAACTATGCTGTGAAGATAAAGTTAAGGCCATTGATTAGTGATTGCTGATTACCTTTGTACTACTGTATGGAGGCTACAGTGTCATTTTATAGTGGAAGACAAATAACTTAAAGCAAATTCTACCTTGCAATGGTATATGAACAGGGCTAATGCCTTTATTCTTTCGTAACCATAAAAGTGTTGAAAGCTAAGAAGTTGATACATTCCTGGTGTCTGCCTTTTCCAAGGGAAGGTCACTATTTTTGTAGTTAGAAAGCTGCAAAGATACTACTTCCCTCAAGCTACAGTGATACAACAGAACATGAAGGAGCTCTGTTACTACCAATTATTACACAGGAAATGAAAAAAAGAAACAGTAACCTAGGAAGCAACCAACCAATCAACAGACAAATACAAAAAATGGCACATATACTGTAATAATTTTATTTCAGTGCCATCGAGTCATAAGTATATTTATACCACTTAGGGAAGAAAATACACAAACTATTTGAGAACAGTTAAACTTTTTCTTTGTCAAAGAGCACACAAAACTGAGTTTGACTTTGTTAATTTGATGCATTATCTGATTATTTTCATTTTGTAAGCCTTATTTGTTTCAGAACTGTACATACAGAACTGTCAATAAACAGAAACAAAATTCAAAACGTTAAGTGGAGTAATGGATTAAAAATATTTTATCAAAAAGATATATATTTTTTTGATAAACATCTCTTATGAAATGCACAAACCCACCTCGTAATATACTGTTTTACATTGGCTTTGTCCAGTAATCTCAGTTATATGCCCTTATTCTAAATTTCAATTACAAAAGTATAAAATGCACATTTTCTTTAGAAAAACAACACATATTATGGAACACCTTTGTCTTTCTACTTCAAGTGCTTGAATGCAAATAATTAAGATAGCTTGGCTTAATTTGTAATGTCTGTTCTTGGTCACATTCATGACAGTGTACATTACATATATAATAATGTTTATGCATGATAAGGAATGCAATCCCATTGAGGTATGTGTGTGATATGCACTATAAAAGCAAAGCTTGCACAGTTCATCTATATCAGAGAAACACCTTTGATGGAATTACTGGCTCATGTGCACAATTCTTAGTATTTAATTTTTATGAAATAGTGAAACATGTCAAAATTTCACTGAAGAAATAAGCCTCCAACTAACATTTCAAATGAGATAAAGAGCTTAAGTCTACACTGCATTTATAAAAAAATAGACCTCATTTAATTGTTGCAGATTTTGGTATGTATTGGTAGGTTTACTATATTAGAATGTCTTCTGACAAGATATCGCCTAAGAAATCTAACAGAAAAAAAAATACAAAGGCAAATTCGTAATACAAGAAATTGAATATGTCCAATAAAGTGATTGGCAGCAACAAAGAGTGGTGATGTCAAAGACATTTCTGCTAAATTCTCTCTTTATCCATGGCATGTAGTGTTCCATCTTCATACACGCCTTAATACTAGATATGGCAGACATCAGTCACTTGGTTTGTACACATATAGCTCATACATACAGATTCGCAAATATGTAAAATTACTGTCACCTCATGCTTGTTGTACTTACACTGTCCAACAGAACACACAACAAATTAACAGCAACATATTTACAAAAATATTAAATAAATTAAGAAACACTTACTCTGGCATCAGTCACTTTAAATTCCCGCAGGATATACTGTGGCATATTGTACTCTGCCATGGGATCCACAACAAAGTATTGGTACCTGGCGGACCTTTCTGCTGGCCAGTACTGGTGGCATTTTTCCTATGACAGAAATGAAGTGTCTTTTTTTAGCTGCATTCAACCTCATTCATGAAAATAGATGTAGCAGACGATGCACTATTACGTATATCAGAAACCAAGTCTGCTCTATTCTATAACACACAACAAAGATACAAATTTTGATGGGCTCCTGTTCATTTTTACATTCATATCTCAAAACAGATACAGTCAGATGCAGGTAGGAAAAGGGCAATGGTCAGGTCTACTGGATCAGTCAAGTGAATGTTTGTTTAGAGCAGGCCAGAGAGCCAGGAAACATTTATCAGTACAGTTGCAAAACAAATGTGTAAAACATTTTTTCTGTGTGAGAATGTTTTTTGGTGCTTTGGTGTGGGGTGGTGCAGTGGCTCTGTGGCTAAGGATCTGCACCTGTGGCTGGTTGGTTCGTATTCCATGGCTGGCAGAGGAAACCTACTCTGTTGGGCCCCTGAGCAAGGCCCTGAACCCCAACTGCTCCAGGGGTGCCGTATAAATGGCTGACCCTGCACTCTGACCCCAAGCTTCTCTCCCTGTCTGTGTGTCTCATGAAGAGCAAGCTGGGGTATGTGAAAAGACAAACTCCTAATACAAGAAATTTTATAAGGCCAATAAAGTTATCTTACCCTTACTTTATCTTAGAAAATTAGAACTGAATTCTGATACTTACCCTCCCCATTTCTCTGAGCTTTGTGAGCATGACAACTATTGTTGAGTTGTGCTCCCAGAGCATCCTCCAAAAGTCTTCTGTAGTCTCTGCTAAGGGGCCTTGGGTGGCTATGTAGGCTTTCTGTTGCCTGAAACGAGTTATTTCATTAACTCATTAACTTATTGTTATTCACTAATTCATTACAAAACAAATAAAATCAGAAAAAAATAACCAGCTCCAGAACACCCTCATGGGAGTTAAGTGCTGCAGAAAATCCTGCCCTGACAACTTCATTAACAAGATATTCCACTGCAAAAGGTTTATAAAGCCATGATTGCCTGTGCATTAAAAAACCATTAAAGATGGTTTAATCAAAGAATTACATTTCTGCAGATTTTGGAGGCTCATTTACTCAAAGAAAATTAGTTTGCTGATCTATGCAGTAGATCTACTGTTTACATGCTGTCACGGCTGTAATTAATTAGAAGCATGGTAGAGAGACTCGACAATGCTCCTTCATTTAACCCGTTACAAAACAGGTTCTGTTTTTCAAAGAAAAAATTAAACCAGTTTTGGAAGACAGTACACAGCTATATGGTAAAAGCTAATAAGATGCTACATATGCAAGTCCAACTTTAAAAAATTAAATTAAACCAGGCATTAAGTGTTTTAGAATTTACTTGTGTCCCAGAGGTACTCCTAATTTAGAAAATGCTTAATGATTAAACATGAACTAAAACTATTTGGAACTAGATTAACTCTATAAACTTTCAGGATCACATGACATATCTCCAAATCAAATACACTCTGTTTCCCAGCTTACAAGTACTTCCTGTGTCTGAAACTCAAGTTATTTCAATACAACCTGAAACACTGGGCTAACTCGTGGCACTGTATTTTGTAGCACACTCTATTCATATATTAATTTGTTTAATAATCCTTACCTGTATCCATCAATAAAGCTGGCATTGATGTAATCTGAGCCTTCCACTCCTCGGATAGGCTGCAGACATACTCGAGTGGATTCATATGGCATAATATTAACAAGGCGGTTTTTGAATTTGTTACATGGTAGATTGGCACTGATGAATCTTGATGTATGGGCTTTAGTGTTGGCTAAACGCTGTAGAGGAGAGATAAAGCAAATTCTTTCGAATCACATGCTGTTCATATTTTAGTAGGTCTGCATTTTGCATACAATATTTCTCGCAAGATAAACTCATTAATAAAATAAGTGTCTTGAAAGGAGTGGTGGGTAGGAATGTCGAGAAGATTACAGGATCCCACTAGCAACTGCTGTTGAAAATTCAGAATCCTTTATTACATTCTATAGTAGCACTGTGAATGGGGGACAAAAGGATTACTGTTCCTTTGCTGTGTCAATCTTCTGAGGAAAATAAGTCTTCAATAGCAAAAAAAAGTAATACTATGAGAAAGCCTAGCACAGCACACAATTCTGTGAAGGAAAGGTAATTTTATTTATTCATCGGTGCATTAGCATTCAGCATTTCACCTGTACAGCAGTGAGATTTTTAAAGAGGAACACAGATGCAGGCCTTTAATTTAAAAATAAATATGTAGCAGTGTAAATACAGAAATTCAAAATGCATGCATTTTGCAATGAAATAATACACCCCCACTTCCTCTATAAGACTACTTCCTTGGTTAATGGAGACCTATACTTAACATGCACTATGAAACTGTGTCCCTATTACCACAGATGTCAAAAGCTGTATGTCTCTCAGGACTGGAAAAGAACATTTTATTGAAACCAAATTTCAAAGAAAAACAGTACAGAGGAAGCCACAGGCCCCATGCTGTCTCATTCTCCGAAAGTGTCTATAATGGTATCATGATCAAGCAATCAGTGAAACTTGCCCCAGAAATTCTGGGGCTCTTTAAATGAAACAATATTTCACTGCTTTTTTTTCGTTGACTCAAGGGGAAAAACGTCTGAAGGATCTCATGAGTTCAACACAATATAATATGAAACAAATGGTGGTTACAAGTGCTTTTTTATATAGTGCAATCTTTGAATTCCTAAACCAGTTCAGAAGCCTCTGGCTGTCAAAGCACTTGTATTGAAATTTTGACTCCAGTCCTTGTGACTCCATTCATCTGCTTTTTTTAAACTTGTGATTTGTATGCAATCCTGAATTTTTTTTACACTTTCCATTATTTCTGCACATTACGCAGTTCTATGGCTGCCAGATTTAGCCCTTTATTAACTTGTTTCTGATGGAGAATCCAGTGTCGCAAACAAAAATCATTCATAGTAATTAAGTATCAAGTATTGTACTTTTAGGTAATTTCCAAGAAATAATATACTTTAGGAAGAAGAGTCCTAATCACCAAATCACAAGTGCCCATAATATATGTAGTTTCATTACTAATAATATCCTTACACTTATATAGTGCTTTTTTGGACACGCTACTCAATGCACTATACAGGCAATGGGGACTCCCCTCCACCACCACCAGTGCATAGCCCCCACCTGGTTGATGCGATAGTAGCCAAAGTGCACCAGTACGCTCCCCACACACCAGCTCTCAGTGGGGAGAAGAGCACAGTAATGAAGCCAATTCATTATTAGGGGGCCATGATGGGTAGAGGCCAGGGGGAAATTTGGCCAGGACACCAGGGTAACACTCCTAAATCGAGGTTCAGTTAAATGGCTAATCTAACATTACACAGGAACAATGGCTCAGTCTTCTACATACAAGACGATACATGTAAAAATGCTATCTATACTATAAGCTGGATTAAACATGGAAAAATGCTACTGAATAAATACGCAATAAGTGTCATTTTTTTGCAAATCCCCTGTTGTTGCTTACCTTAAATTCCAGTTCCATTCCAGTGACATTCTCCCCCGCTTCTATCTGTGTTAGCTTCTGAATGTATGCATACAGGTTTCTGGCTGGCACTTCAGTAGTTCCGCAAGTCACTGCCTCCAGCAGTGCATCATGGATAAAGATATATTGGTCCTCTGTTTGAACCATGTAATTCCTCTGGGATCTCATCAGAGTAACGTGGCCATAAATATCTACAGTCTTCTCGTGTTTTATCCTCTCCAACATGGCATCTATTACAATGAAGCACCCGGTCCTGCCAACGCCAGCGCTGAAAAAATAACACATAAATAATCGAAACCAATCAAACCAGTGTGAACTGAAGCGCTTAAATGTCATTGTGAGTCTTCAATGCAGACAATAAAACAGTCCACGGGGTCTGTCTTCTCCCTGTGAAGCATGCTACGTAAATTTCTACAGGTCTGCTGAAGCTTCAAGTCTTATTTGTTATCTAAAGGAGATAAAAAGTCATATACTGTATATATTCGTAACACCAGACTGCAGGAGCATTAAAGGCTCAAATAATGCTTTCCCAACATGCAGCAAGTCAATTCATACAGGGAAAGAAATAATGGTTCACTGTATGTGCTGAGGATGAGAACTTTTCAGAATCTCCAGAGGAAGCTTAGCTGGCACAGCGGGCTGTAATGGAATTGAATATTCAGGCTTTAGCATTATTATATATGAAGTGCTTCTATGCTAAAGCTCCATATCAGGGGAGCATAATTCCAGTCATCAAGGGCCATAGTGCTTTCCGTTTTCTCTCTGTAGTAACTCTTAATTAGTTGATTAAACTAATTAATTTCTCCAAATCTTGACTGAAGTTGTGCACCACTGTTGTATATCATTAAGGGGGAAAGAGCTGTTCTATATCCATATATTGTGTATATTGTATATATAATATGTGACTTTGAAAATCAACCACAGACGAGTACTTTTAGCTGTAATGCATCAATAATACTTTAATTGAACAGCAATTACTCATTCATGACAAAATGGTTCTCGTTCTTGGTCGAGAAACTTTCAGCAGCACTGCTGGTATTGGACGAGTTATATACAATGATATTTTATCCAGTTAAATAAATAAATGTGTGATGTAATCCCTGGTATCTGGTATCCCTGGAGATATGGTTTATTATAGCATCAAATGGATACTATTAGTCACAGTCGAGAATGGTGGATCATATTAATGGAAATGAAGGGTTTTGTGTAAATAACAATTATGCAAGAATACTGAGAATCAAAATAAACATCACTGTTTATACACGTGTATATGGAAATTGATTACATGTTTATAGCATCATTCCATTTAATTAATGAATCATGATTGACTATAATACACTTGATTTACTTTGTTGCAAGAATACTAAATCACTTCATTAGTAAAAGAGCTGATTGGGTACAGGTGTTGAGGTGCAATAACCTGCTGAATGTCAAATTTGGTGGAAAAAGAAGATGAACTCCAAAATGAAGATGAAAGAAACTAATATGTCCCCTTTGTTAAGGGATCAAAACCTATGTTCCAACAGTATGATGGATCTTTAGATGGACTTGCCAGTCATGTCCTCTTTAGAGAACAATCAAGGTTTTTTGAAGACCCCCCGGATGTCAACAAGTGTGGTGCACAATGATATGCTCATTATGGTGTACAACAGACCATTTCACCAGAGTGCAGTGGTCTTGGCTGAAGTGTCAAGTAGCTTTAGAATTCCACTTGTAGTGATTGATGGCAACCTGACTGCACAGAACTACACTGATCAAATCCTGAGACCTCACCTGCTCCATTCCAGCAGGAAAACACACATTTGTATGCTGCCTGTGTAACAAAAGCTTTCTTGTGAGATAGGAATGTGACAGTTATACTACAGATGTCCTACTTGCCACACTTGAGTCCTACTGAACATTTGTCGGCTGAGCTGTGATGACAAGTGGTATCTAGGACTCACAGACCAGTGAACAGGTACACGCTTGCTTGGATTCTATGAGAGGAATGGGGCTATATCCCACAGGACACAAGACAGCATCTGCAAACAGGTGCAAAGCATGTATTGCAGATGTACAGTTTGTATTGGTTCCAGCCATGGCTGTGTGCTATTAGACTGTGACTTTCACAATACACATCTTTTCATCAAGCCTGATAATCACAACCATTATTCAGCAAATAATTTACCTACTCATCCCTGTTGAATGAGATGTTAATGAAACTTGTCCAAAAAGTATTGTCATTTTCTCGATAAAAACTTTGTTGCACTATTAAGTGACGAGCATCTTTTGAAGTTTAGGGTACTCAAGTGTAATATTTCATGTTCACAGAGAAGACTTTCAGCTCAGTCGGAGGTTTACTTTTTTATCCGCGCAGATTATTGCTTGCTAAACAAAATACACAAACTTTTAGAAGCAGATAACAGACAACACTGTTATTAATGTTTAAAGTTTGTCTTATTGATGTGTTTAATGTACCCTTTGAGAGACATTAATATTCATCAGAGTTGTTTGAAGTGGTACAGAAAGCAAGGCATTACAAAACAAGAAAAAGAAAAAAAAGCTTTCTCTAGCAAACAGGAATATACCTAGATGTAGGTCTAGAAGAGGATACTACTTAGATATTAAGGAGGGAATACATCTGTTTTTGGTGCAATATTAAGTCTTTTACCCACAGTTTAGCCCTAGGAGCACTAGGAAATGTACAGTAGTCACTACCTTACAAAATTTACTTTGTCATATTTGTTAATTAGTTACTATTACTAATTAGTTATATTATTTAATAAAAAGTATATGTATGCAATGTACCACCATGAGCACAAACCCATAAACAACAAACACTATCTAGAGTTTAGAACCTTTTTTAGTGTTTTTCATAATTTAAGTATCTAGTATTGTTCAATGTGTGTGCAAAACATTGGATTTGCATCTGCATCCAAAAAAAAAAATCTGGAAATGGTTTTTCCAAGGGAATTAAATACAAAAAAAAAAATACAGTTAAGCTCAAGATTCACCCAGATGTCTACTAATAAAGAGTTTGGTACTTCTTACAAATAAGAGGGCCGAATTCATTTTCTGTATTCAAATTCATTTTCTGTATTTCCGATTATGATGACTTATCGTAAGACTGTTAAGCGTCATATAAAACATTAGTTCTAATCTTATATTTCAGAATATATACTTTTTGGTAAGAGTAATCTTTTTTAAGTAACCAGATTTCTTTCCAAGGCGAAAAGAATACAAAGCAGTTTGAGTTTTTTTATGTTATTGGCTTTCAAATGTGGTTTGACAGAATAAAGGTTTATTGTAGATGTCCTGGCAGCTTGCCTTACTTGACCTTTGTCAAATAATTTAAATGTATTATGGTCCTGTTTTCTGTCATTAGAAGAGCTGATTAAAAAGACAGTAGAATATAACTGGCTTTAAGACTTGCTGCACAGAAGAAACATTCAGCATACAAAAACACTGTACATCCCTTATAAGCCAATTCAATGCCAAGTCTTAGCCTCATCTTAGAGAGAGTCCTTAGGTTGGTGCTTAAAAGCAAATGGGTTATTCAATCCATTAAGCAAACATGCCTAGTAGGTGCTATCTTGCCTCTCAGCATTATTCTTCCTTCAGTCACAACATTTGTTTTTAATTTATAAAATCATGACTGAGTTGCTCCCCTGAGCTGAAATTTGGTTAATGTCCCATGATGTGATGTAAGCGTGCAAGAATAAAATTAAGATACATACGGGAGTCATTTTGTGCAACAAATCGTCATATGGTTACGTTTAAAGATTGGCACCAGCTGATTAATTTGTTACTGTTTTAGTGTGGACTTCAGCTTGATACTTCAGTGATCCTGGCAGATTAAAATGCTGTAATTGCGAAAGTTTCATGCATCATTGGTTCATTGATAAAAGTCTAGTTGTAATCTTGTTACACATATTTCTGAAATAGTCCTTTCCATGACTTTGAACAACAGTACAGGTAGGGCTGCAGCTAAATAACCAACATTCTCTTTTAACAGCAGCTGTTTCCAATTTTTATCCATTATTATATTTCAGCATCAGGTACCAGTAAATTCCTTTATTATTATGAGATGTAAAAATAGCTGCACTGTATATTGTTTTCATATACTTTCACAGCTGTTAGAATGATAAAGGAGTTACAAGCACTTTTGTACAGATTTTAACACTTTTTCTGACAGGCAAGATTAAATAAGACTGCTTTCAAATTATGTATTATAGGGATTTATTTTTTTCTGGTCCTTAAAGAGATTGTTTTAGAATAAAAAGATCTAACAATTTCTATAAATCTTAGCAATAGCATTTCTGTATTTATGATAAATTATCAAGGCCATAATACACAATTAAAACATTCTGAGGTGCAGAATCTTGCTTGTTCTATTATTATTTACAGTGTTTGCAAGCATGTGTCTGTAAATGTGTATAAAATTAAATTTGTTAAAGTATATTTTAAGCTAGTCTCAAGATTAACAGTAAAGTTACAAAAACAGTTTGGACTGGAGAAAACTGTAGAATCAAAAACACACAACAGGCTCACTAGGCACATTTCCTTAAATGTTGTCAGAATCTTCAGGTTAAATCAAGTTTGTAGCAGCAGCTTCTCACTAAGTAGCTGTAACTTATGAATAGTACATTTGGCTAAATGTTTGATTTTCCAAATAGCCTTTCAAACAAGTTTGTTAAGCTTCTTCAATATGGTGCATGATTTAGTTTGTAATGTTTCAGGCACATTTACATTATATGTAAGACTATAAAACTGGACTCCTGAAAAGGCAGATCCTTAAAGTGTTATAAACTAAGGTAACCCGTCATAGTAATGTAAAGTATTTTACACATACTCTTTCAAACATCAAATCCCTTCAGTGATTTTGAAATACACATTTTAAACCATAGCTTTCTATCCAGCTACAAGGACATATGTTAGCTATAGCTATTGAAAAGACTGTCTTGTTTTGTAAATAATTTAAATAAACCAAAAAATAAAATTTTAAGAACTGAAACTGTTCAATGATAACATTGACTATAAGCTGTAAAAGCTGTGAGAACTTCTACTGGAATAATAAACCTACTAAATGTATTTAGAAGGGGACATGCTTGTATTAATTCCAAATGTCTTCTATAAGGCAAGCAGGAAAAGAAGAAATTAAAATGTTTGTAGCAGATGAGGATTAAAGCACCAAGATAAACGAGGAGGCAAGCTGATGTTTTGACATGAAAGAAATGACAAGTTGCTTGACTCATCTGAAAATGGTATCATTAGGCAAAGATTTCATGATGAGAATCACACAGCTTATCACATTGTTGCCTTAGTCTTACAACCAATTACTTTTTAACCTCAAATGTGCATCTGAGGTAACACAGCATAATTCAAAACAAACTAAGAATCATATATCAGTCAATACTTTCCATTCTTGAATAGTGTGGAAACCTATTTTAGAAACTCAAACCCTCCTGTCATGTTCTGCTCGGGAAATTCAGTATTCCCTACTCTGACTTTTTGCTGTAAGGTCATAAAAATATGTTCTTATTTCCTGCAGATGGCTAAATTCCATTCCTCCAAAGTAATTCCAATTCAGAACTCATCACAGACAGCTGTTGACTAGTAGGTAACTTAATTACTTTTTTCATACTAGACTCAGCTGTAAGCACTTTTTTTTCCCCAAGAACAATGTGACAAATAGCCAAATTAATACAACAAAACAACCAGCAAAATAATAACTCAGCGCTCAGAATAAAACAGATGGCTAAAGAGATTCTTGCATGATTTTAAAGTAAAAAAAAATAATAACAGCACAATAATGATAATGATAAAAGCTCCATGCTGTGACTTTTCGGCCTCTTAAAGTTTTAATAAGAAAGTAAATAGTGAATGATTAATAATTTTGTCAGTGCATGTTATTTCATTTATTTTTCTTAGAAAAAAAGCTGCGGTTTTTAAGTCTCATAGATACCTTATGATATTGGTGAGACTATGCCAAAGTTATTTTTATTAACTGTGTTTCATTTAATTGTTTAGGCTTTGGACCCTTAAACATAGTGGGCATAACACTCTTAACACAGCACTTAAAGGACCATGTCTGGTAATTACCTAAAAGTGTTATATGTGGTACAAATAATAGAACAAGGCTTTCCAGCTAGGAACAAAGAAGAAAAATTAAAACTACCTAAGCTGAACACAGAAGGGGCTGGCTTGAAGCTATTATTAATTATTATTATCTGAATTTACACGAGAAGGCTTTATTGCTGGTGTGCATTTTCAGCCAACCATTTAACAACAGCCCTTGTTCTGAGTTTTGTTTTCATTATGCGTGACAGACAATGGTGGAAGGCTCAATTTAAGTCTTTCTTTGCTCTCTTAACATCCAGTAAAATTTACTCAAGGGTGTCACTTGACATATTGATTACACATGATATCTCGCAGAAATACCAACGAGAACAACTTTTTTTTTTCTGGAAATAAGAAAAAGATATAAACTACAGTTCAAAAGGTGATTTGTTGATGACATGCTTCAAATGAATGTTTTAGTTTTTCCATACTGCCCATGCTTAAGATCAGACTGTCATTATTGCAAGTTACCTTTCTCACCCCAAAATAAATGACAAACATAAAAAATGATACATTTGTGTGCCTCATCACAAGTGCCGTGTTGTAAAGGCTTGGTACAAAGAAGCCTGGTGACAGGTAGTGGTGTAATGTTCTCTGGACAGCTGAGTAAAACATTTAACTCTTTGGCCACAACGACCAGCCAACAAATGAATAAAGTAATGTGTTTTGTGGAAAAAACCAAGCAATGCCCTCCAACAGAAGAACCTCATCCTGACTGGCAAGTTTGGTGGTGGATGTATCGTGGTGTGGGTTGGCTTTGCTGCCTCAAAACCTGGACAGCTTCCCATCATTGATGCAACCCAAAAATTGGTGTTCTTTCAGCACATTCTGCAGGAGAATGTCAGGCCACCCTAACGAGCTGAAGCTGAGCTAAAAGTGGGTCATACAGCAAGACAATGATTCTAAACATACAAGCAGATCTACAACACGATGACTGAAGAAGACGGAATTTCCTGTTTTGGCCAAGTCACAATCTGGACCTAAACACCACTAATATCTTATGGAAGGACCTGAAACAATGGAATCTAGAAATATCACAGACTTAAAGCAGTTCTGTAAGGATGGTTGACCCAAAATTAAAAAAGGCTGATAACCATTTACTGGAAACATCTGCTGTAGTTCAACTGTTTACTGCCAAGGAAGCACCATGAGTTACTGAATCCAAAGGTTCACAAACATATTGCCATGGAGAATTTACTGTTTATTAAGTGTTCGGTCATTACTGTAATCTAATAATTACTAATAATCCAAACGTACTGAATTTTTTTGTGTTATACTGGTAAGTGACGTATTGTTATTCATTAAGACTATCGTGAATATATGATTAAGTTTAAGGTGTCAATTTAATGAGAATACAGACCAAATTAAAGGATTCACAGACATTTTCACGGCACTGATCTATCACGGGCAAAAAAAGGACGGACATAAAGAGACAAATTAGAGTAACTGGACAAAACCTAGCTTCTTATCATTTTATTTATATTAGAGGAAAGATTGTGCTATCCTTGAAAAGTACCTTTAACAATCAGAACAGATCCCAGGACCTGTTTGTAAAACAGTATACTAAATCACACCACAAACACAACAATCCTGCTTTGAAAGCTTAATAATAATAAAATAATAGTAGTAGTAATAATAATAAGAAGAATATGTTTTAACACATACTATCTGCTAAACACATTAGTAAACCACATAAACTAATGGAGGACAGACTGCATGAATTAACAGGGCTATGTAGACTGAGAATTCATGTTATGACAATATACAGTCTCAGAAAACTGTCAGAAATTAATGTTAGAATTTCATTATTAATTTATACAGCATTTACCAAAACAATTTTGCAGTGCAAAATTATGCAGTAAAGGACCTGTTTTTTTTGCTTTTCTCATTTCTTTTAAATCCAAATTTCAACCAACTGGTTGCCCAGCACGTTTCTCAGTGATTTACATGCTGAAGTCAATTTATAGTTCCAAAATGTTTTCCTTCACATATTGTGGTTAGACTGTGCCTTAGCACTTTTAGAAACTGTTTGACAAAGCTCTACGAAGTAAAAATCACTCAATTTTCACTTTATTCAAAGAGTACATAACATTTCTGATAGCATGGGCATAAATATCCTTCAGAACAGTAACTTTGAAAGACTATAGATGAAGGGATTTCTTTTCAACTGATTTTAAACCACTGTGAAGCTTATCTGATCTGGGGGAAGGAATTAAAACTCCCATCTGCAGTATGACATTAATTCCAGCATTCTGCATGCCAAAATCAGGATTTTCAATTTAAACTGATTCTGCTAGTAGGTCTAATTAAGTTCTGCATGTGGTAATTTAATTCCTCAGTAATCCCTTTTCCACAGTTTCTCAAGCAGGTTTATTTGCCTTTGCCCCGTAAAACTGCTTCACTTTCTAGCAGAACTGGTGCCATTCTGTGGATTACAGTGACAGCTTCCTCTGTCATTGTTTTCAGTTTCTCTATCTGCCACACATGTAGGAATTCTAACTATGTGGATGCAATTTGTATAAAACAAACTGTGTTTGTATTCAGCCTGGGGATATCCTGAGAAAATAAATCCATTCATATATTGTCCATCTTCATCACAAAGATGCAACAATTCTCTAGTGGATACATTTTCCTGTCCATTTCATATTTTGTACCAATTAGTTTTAGTCTCTTTTGTTGATTTCTACCTCAGAAAGTTTATCTACCCCATTCTCTATTCCAGACAACTTAAGGTTATATGGTAACCTGAAGAGAGAGTAACCTACTATACCGTATTCTGTCTGATATCAAAATGCTTTTTTGATGCATTTTGTACTAAATCTTTAGTACAAAAAAAATAAGTGTACATCTTCAAAACTAAACGCTTCAAATACTGGGACTAATATACGTTCATATTTACTTTAGATTAGCTAGCATACATATGGGTTATGCAAAATGCTTTTTTTTTTGTCACATTGGGAGGACCAGAAAACAAGAGGGTCAAACAACTTAGGGAAAGGCACAGAGAATGTGAAAGCCAGGGATTTAACCAAAACCTCCTCCTAAAAATCAATTTACTTAAACCACTTTAACACTTGGTCACCTAAATATGAGATTCATTTCCTGAGGTTAAAATAGGGTTAAATTGTGATATAAATAGTAAAGTGAAAAGGAATAATTTATGGAGCCTGAAAACCAGTTTTTGTAATGCCGTTCATGTACAATATACTTTGGCGAGGTACGACCCACAATGAGCTTTTTCACAGCTGCACAGAACGAACTATAAATGCTCTTACCTGCAATGCACAACCATTGGCCCTGCATCTGGTGGGTTACAGGCTTTGACACGGCGTAAAAAGGCAAGGAAAGGCGTGGGATGTTCAGGAACGCCATGGTCAGGCCAGGCTGTGAACTGGAACTGCCTCACCTCCCTCTTCTCACTGGAGCCATTCTGTGACGGCAAGTGCACACTCATTCCATGCCACCACGCCAACATTTACAGCAGCTAACATCTGCTTCCCATGCAAGCAGGAAAACTGATTGACCGCGAGCTAAGCTTTTTTTTTTTAATGACCTCACTTTCAAGGACGTAAGTTAGGATTTCCAGACAAAAATGAGGAAAGAAAAACTTTCGGCTTCGTTAAACTTCGTGTATTCATAGTTTGACAGCTCAGATGTTTGTAACGTCAGTTCCCAAACCCAGCTAGAAGAGGCTGATGGGATTACAATCCTCACAAATTCACGTAAATTGCCAGCCTTTCAAGACAACTGAGAGGTAATGAGGAAAAGAAACAACTTTAAATGACTTAAAGAAAAACAAAAACGACATTGGCAATCTGATGAACAGGTGAAGGACCCATATGGGATGACTCAGTACTAAACTAATTTCTTAATAGTCATCAGCATGCTAGTCACTAAATTAAATTAACTTTGGAAAGTGGCTAAATGTAGCATTCCGGTAATGAGATAGATTGAAATTCAGGGTGATGAGGAGTTTTGATCTTATCATCAGACAGTAGCAGTATCTTCTACTACACACTTACCTTGTAAAGTGCAAATGTTCTAACGCAGTAAGTTGCTAGCTCCACTGTATCTAATAATGTCACCTGTATGAGACCATAGGTCTCAGTACCTCTTGTGGGCCAGTACTGATCGCATTTAACCTGCAACAAAAGATTGTATTAAAATACAGAAAGTGCATTACATAGTAAAAACTGTAGATTATATATAACATTTCGAGAGCTCAGTTCTTAATCTTTAAATCTGCATCTGAGGCTTATAAAAATCTGTCAAATGACTTACATAACCAACTGCATATCTGTCAAAAGGGAAACTACAGCCATGGTGAATGTAAATCTAATAAATAAAGGGTATTGGGATGCCAGCAACTTCTCATTCTGCTGATTTCTACAGTTTCAAATAAAAAAACAACAACTTAAAACATTCCACTGATTCAGACAGCAGTATTTATAAACCTGACAGAGTCTATAATTACAATCTTTACTGCAGTTTTCCAATCACATTATAGACACTAGTTTATTATGATTATACAGTTTCGTTGCCCAGTGAACAACCAATAAAACTCTGTTCCATTACAGTATTATTGTTTCACTGCCAAGTGGAAACAAAATTAATAGTTTAAGTAAATAATAGACTTTTACACAATAAACTGTCTAAAAAGCCATACGTTACTCTCATTAAGATACATCTTTAATCCAAAAACAGATTATGCAAAGACAAACAATTAAAAATGACCTCCGCATCGCAAAATTAGCTTAATAAAAATGTTTACTTAGGTTAGACAACATAGATCACAATTAACTGAAGAGTCTCACAAAGATAACTAAGTTTATAGGATAAATGTTGAGCTAGTCAGACACATAAACAATGCAGAGTCTTTATCTAGGCCATTTAGATTACAAAAAACTATTACAAAACAATGGCAAGAACTACCACAGTTGTTGAGCCCTAAGGATGTAATGTCTTTTAACGTTTTAAGAAACACTTAAAACACTGGAAATAACATGACAACTGTCAGCTTCATACACAATTTCTAAAAACAGTATACTATCATATAACATGCTACCACTAGCAAATGAATACTGTAATTTGGGCACAGAACTTGTTTCTGTTTGTTAGTATATACCAGAAATAATTAGAATTATAAAAGAAATAACTGATCTAATAATATTTTTATTTTGCGAACATCATAGCTAAACAGTTTACACATTTTTTTTAATTGATTATTTTATTTTCATACAAACATACAAGAACAAATCTGCAAAGTAAAAAAAAAAGTTTTAGAAAAATGCTTTGAATTATTTGTAATCTAAAAAATACACATCAGGAAGCAATTTTCAAAGGCATGCAGTTTGTGCTCAAGTATACCTGTGTGGTCATACAATCAGAATGATAACATTAGGAGTTAAGGAAAAAAACAAGAAAGGGGGATTTCTCTCTTTTAGGTGTAATGATGCTATCTAACCTAGCTGCATCAGAAACTATTAACTGGGTCCACTGATTTTCTTCTCCACTTTACAAAACTTCTTTTTAATTAAAATTAAGACCTCTGAAATGCCAGGTGACAAACTGAATTATTGTGGAAATCATGCACTTTATTTCTGTGACGTGGTTGTACATTTCTCATCAAGACTGTGCATAACAGCAAAAATAAAATATGCTATAGCATTTGCATATGCCAATTTATTTTTTCTTTTTAAGCATGTTCGAATGGAGAAAAGCCTTGCAGCGTGTGACAGTGCCAAGTGCCGACGACAGTTTTGTGTAATAGCAGTTTAGTATCAGTATTATAGGTGCAACATTTACAGCTTGCACACAGCAGTGTTGGATAAAAACAAAGCCATGCTACTAAATTAAACAACGACACGACAAAGAGGAAACTCGAAAAAAGTGACAGATGATTGAGTGAATGACACCCAATGGCACAAAATGAGAAATGTCTTGCCTTGGAGAAGAAATAAGAAGGCATCTGAAGAAAAAATATAAAACAAAACGAAACACAACAAAAAAAATGATGGCAGTTAAAAAAGTAGTTTGTTAAAATGTTAAAGCAGAAACCTGCATTGAAGAAGTACCTTTTGAAGGTTTAATAAACCAACTTCAAAAACTAAAATTCACCATTATTCAGACTAAATATTCAAAGAATACCTGAATGAATATAAGAATATCATTTCAAACGGTAATTAGGCTTTCACATAATTCATTCCTTGTGTTGTTAAAGAGAAATCTCATTAAAAAAGGCCTCTTCTCTCTCGATTTCTTCATTGTTTATACCTCTTGTTTTTGGAATATGTAAATGTTACCCTAACTGCTAATGTTAATAAAACCAACAAAATTAATTATCCTTAGAATTTTAACTATAACATACTGCAATACGTATTTTCAATCTGCCAATAACTAAAGGACTACACACTTTTTGTGAACAGAAGTTGTAATCATTTTAATGTTGGTTGTGTTAGGAGGTACTAGGATTTTATTTTCAGGTCCAAAACAGTGGACCCCCCTTCCACAATTATTATTTGGTCCCCATTCTACAATTGTTGGATAAACCATAATTATAAGGGGAAAAGAGCACTCATTGGTTAAAAAAATGTGATTCTAAACACTGGAACACAAATAGTACCTGAGTAAAGCCTTTTAAGAGACGCAATGCTTTCATATTAAAGTAAACACAATCTATATGAATAGCTAATGTACAAATATTTACAACAGTCTAATCTAATCACAGTTTAATAAGATGTGCTTTGTAGAAATCTAGAATGTTGTGACCAACTGTACTTCATAAATATATTTCCAGTTGTTCTGGCGATTTCAGTAAGCGAAATATATACACACTTTGAATTTGTGAAAACAAATAATATCAAAGAAGGGCAAAACTTTATATGAAGTATAGAGGGTTCTATAATAAAAATGGTTTTACAAAAATATTATCCCAACAATTACTGTTTGATAGGAAGAAAAAAGTCTTCTTTTGATTTGTGCAAAAGAAAATGACTAATTTTACTAAAATTCCTAATACTGAATGTAATGTTATTTGTGAGATGTCATAAATAATGCGGGCTTTACAAAAAAAAACATCAAAAACATTGTTTTATTGTCTTTCAGGGCGAGAAGTCAGGAATGATGAATTAATTATTATTGCCATTAGATATTCCATCAAAAAAGAACAGAATATGTATACATAAGTACATGTAATTTATAGTTAAAACATGAAAAAAGCACTGTTGCTTTGTTGCTTATTCCTCCTGATTGTTTGACATTTCAAATGCATACATTTTAAGCATCTTTTACTGTATGTTCCAGATGTAATCTGACTTTAAAGCTGTGTCGCTGGCTTAGTGGATTGGATGGGTGGTCATGGCTGCTAAATGAATCAAAGATAGTAGCTGTAACAGGAAAGAATTTGAAATACTACATCCAAAAATCTGGTAGTCAATAGACTCATTAATTCTTTCCTTAATCTTTTCTTTTGCTTAGCAAGATAACACAAATGTCACATGAAGTAAGAAATGATTATGTACTTACTCTAGATCTCTCCTCCAGCTTAGTCATCATGACAATATTTGCACTGCGTTGTTCCCAGATCATCCTCCAGAAATCACCAAAGGTTTCTGGGAGTGAACCCTGGGTGGCAATATAAGCATTCTGTTTCCTGTAGCCATCAATATAGTTGGCATTGATATAGTCACTTCCAGGGATACCTGAAAGAAAAGGAAAATTAACATTTGAAAGAGGATTACACACATATATTGCAATCTGGTGCCCAAAATGGGTTTGAAGTTGATTAAAAAAAACATGCAAAAAACGGTTGCACAGAAAGTGTCTGATATTTTAGATCAGCTGTTGGTATGTTTTTCACACTTTCCTAAGGCCATCACTGCCTCTGCCCCAAGGTTTAATTTGTAGCTGTCCATCTTCCTGAGACATTTTTTTTCTTGCTCCACAATGCTCAGTATCTCTGAAGTCACAAGACAGTGACACAGAGATGACTGTCATTTGAAGCATGTGCTATGGGCAAGTACTTCAATCACGCTAGTGTCCCTGCTTGAAGAAAGCTGCAAGGAGGTAAGATAAAGGTCTAATAAGCTCTTTTCACTCACTTTGGTCACTTAAATCCCACCAAAATATTAACTGCTGATCACGGCTATGCCTTGCATCATATACATACTGTAAACATATACTGAAGAAATAAAAATATGTGTGTCATTTGCAAAATAATTTGACATTATAAATAATCAAAGTTAAAAATGTCAAATGGGCAAAAACAGTGAAAGACACTTTCAATACCAGTTGGTGTTTGTAACACTGGAGCTCTGAAGGCATTTCATCAAAGTTTAGAAAATAAAAGAGCCATAGATTGTATCTGTCATCATTCCAAGCTAAAACCAGTTTAGAGTTAAAATCCAACATCACATTTAAACGGCCTGCATAACAACCAACAAATATGTCCTTTAGAGCTTCAAAGAAAGCTTCATTTAAAGATGTTTTCTGCCGTTTCCTTCCTTCACAGCCTTGCTATAAAATCCCAGCATGTAATAGAGGTACCTGAGGTAATATCTCTAAAAGGGTTAAGTTTACTCCTGATTCTTGTATTAATGATTTTAAAATCAAACTGCATCTGCATTCCTAAATTGCGGAAAACATTCTAGAGCAAAATGTATGCCCCCCCCCCTCCATTTTTCTCACTCTTTTCAAATAAAAGCAGCAAGTCTTTTTCAATCTAGGGAGAAGCCTGGCTGACAGCAGAGTCAATGCTGCAGGACTGGCAGCTGTGAACAGCACTCACACATGGTCTGTGAAGATAAGTCTCATCTGCATGGGACTCACGTCTTACCGGCGCCTGTGCTTTAACTTTGCCTTTTTGCAGGTAACTTATTCAGTGAAAAGACCAAACCGTGTGTTCTTTCAAAATTCACTGTTTTGCTGTAAACTAAGCCTGGCCACATGCCAGTCATTTCTCTACGATGGGAGCAGATAAAGACAACTAAGCTTCCGGATGAAAGAAAAATGAAATATTACTATGTCATGAATACTAAGGTGTTGTTTCCTGGACATTGATTATTTTCAGGATTTAAAACTGCTGCTCCCTCCCTGTTTTCTACACGGTAATCTCCTGTCATACAGGATAAGAAGGTATAGCAATTTAAATGTTCTTTGTATCTTTTAATATATCTAGCATTTAACTCTCTAGGTATAGTCAAAACTATACATATATAAGAAAAGATCTGGAACATTTGGAAAAGCTGTTTTAAGATGTTTCTCTAAAAATAATAGATTTTTATGGAGAACATTATTCAATTGCACATTCACTATATAGAGTATGTAGAAGAAAGGGAACACTGCTAGAAACAACAGAAAGAGGAAAGCAATAATAATAATAATAATAATTCACAAAACCACTATATTTGTGTAATTCCTAAAAACAAAAAGAGGCTATAGCTCTATGCAAAAAAGGCTATGCAAAAATCATTTTTTTATTGTACTACTGCATTGGCAAAAGAAGGCTTGATCAGCTTTCCAAAATGTCAGTCAGGATTTGCCTGTTTTACTTTTTACCAAGTTGAAGCATCTGATGCAGTGTAGCTGTTCTGCAATGCATGGCAGCTAAATCAAAACTCCATTCATATGGTTTAAGTTCTCCAGTACAATCATAATAGGAAATGCTACAACCAAGAGGATGTCATTTGGACTAGTTAGCCCACTTGGTTACTGGTTGCTAACTGATCTGAGGATCCTCTCCATCTGAGGAGCCTAAGAGACTCCCACAGTTCTTTGACTAGTTATGGGCAATTGGTGGATGTAATGTTCCTGTGACACATTTGAAACAGTGAGGAACATGTACTGTAAATTGTGCGCTCCGTATCAGTAAGCATAATCTGGCATTCCTGGGTATTTTGAGCATAAGAAAGGTTAGAAATGAGAGGAGAACACCCAACTCTCATCTCTCTTCATCTAGCTCATTTTGTAGCAAGTAACCAATTAAACTGATCTCATCCAGCTGTTGCTTGAAAGAAGTCAGCGTATCAGCCTTGACATTATGGCTGAGCAGCTTATTCCCCACAAGCCTTTAGTGTAGAGAAGTGCTTCCTGTTGTTAGTGTTAAATGCAGTCTTGTTTCACTGTGGATTTTGAAGAAATCCACTAGATTGCTTTTCAGGATTTCAAATACAGTACTTTCAAATAGTATTCAGCTACTCAATGCACTGTGTACGTAGAGCTGCCTGATCTGATAAGGCTTTTCCAATGATGGAAAACAAAACAGAACATAGGAAATTTAAAAAAAAGCAAGACTGCAAGTTAATATTCATAAAGGCATCATGCAAATGCAAACAACAACAACAATGTCTTGTTTTCTGTACAAGGCCAGTGACACTGAAAGCTTCTCCAGAGAGATGGAAGTGTATTGGCAAAAGCAAAACTGGTACTCTACAAAGCTAACAGAAGAAGCAGGGAAACACTTTAGTACAACAGCGAAATAAAGTATTTGAAGCAGGAAGCAGAGACCATAACTTATTCCCAATGGCAGCTTTATAAACTAGTTATACAGACAAGCCCTTTGGCAACAAATTCTATCAAACAGTTTAAATGTAAACACCAACTCCCAGTAGCCAACTGCTTTGTTATATCAAACTGAAAAGTCCCCAATCTCTGGAAAAGCCCTCCCTTCTCTCAAAAAGTAGCAACTTCACCGTTCTGCTGTGTTTGTGTTGCCTTAGTGGAATCCATCAATGTTCAACTGTCTTTTCTTTTAGGGAAGAGGCTGTGCAAAAGGACCCACATCTTTATTTAGCTGCTATTGTTACTTGTCATTTACATCCATTTTACAGTTTCTTTCTACCCGCACTGTGCTAGAATTCCATTTTAGTTCTTGCTTGCATCCTTTCATTTGAGTTATCTGGCATGAGCAGATTTATGTTGGGGCAATATTCTATTACAAAGTTAAATGGCTCATTATGGGACTAATGCCAGAGAGCTAAAAAAATGTTTCGATTGTGCATTTTATCCATAAAAAATGTGTTACTGTAAAAACAGAGCAGATAGGATTTTCTACCATGTGATGTAGTTGTACATGACATATTATTTAAGATAGACCACACTGGATATTTGTAAACAACTGTTAGAACTTTATAATGTGTTGCACTTAACATCACATTGCAGTATAACTACAATATACATTAAATAATTATATATCATAATTATCTACTGTAATTACAACATAATTATCTGTTAATATTTGCATTATCTATTGCAAAATAGCTAATAAATTGTAATATTCAAAATGGTATTTTTCTTGTTTACATGCTAGTCTGAATCTAGAGCATCAGATTTTAAATGAGTATTAAAACTAAGAAAATTAGCTACTTCTGACTATTTGAAGAGCCCATTTTGAAAATGTATTACTATGGTAACTGTGAAACAAACACAGCTGTTACACACTTGAATTACAAGACTAATACTTTTAAGTCTAAAAATACATAATGCAATGAGTAGATGAAACTGAGATTTACAAATTGACTGGAGAAACAAACATTTCTTTTGTTAATAAGTGGTATAATTTGCTTTTAAACTAAGGGGAAAAACAAACCCCTACAATTTTACTGGCTAATGTAAACAATTCTCTGAAAAGGTTTAAAGTGGTACCATTACTCCAGTATTTGGGGACTGGGGAACATACCTTTTGGGAGTTTTGAGAGTTTGGAGTTTTTGGAGGAAATTAGGAAGCAATGTGAAAAGGAAGGATTGGATTTTGACTGGAATCTCTTTTAACCTCCCTCTTTAGACAGAGCTACAATAGATACTTCTACCTCGGAGATCACGTCTATTCAAAAAGTCGTAGTGGCGTGGTTCGATGACTCATCAGGAAACTGTTTTCTTTTTAAAAACACTGTTCATTTTTCACTACCTGCAGCTATGCATGTTGAGGAAGTAATCTTCTAATGTTAGACAGAGCTGCAGATAATGAAGTCTCAGAAAAATTATCGCATATCAAATTAAACGTCAAGTCGAGCCTTGCCATTTTTGACAAGAAGCAGATGTGTCTTGTCTATTGCAGCTGTTTCATGTGACAAACCAAATTTTGTATCGGGAAATACAAAGTCTTGCACGCTAGAAATGAAAGTATGACTTATAATTGGAATATGCATGGCTCAGATCTTGAACATACCCAATGAGGAATTCATTGTGAGATGTTATGAATTTGTCATTAACAGCCTCTTGCCAGTGCGGGAGAGTGGTAAAAAAGACATGCAGAATACTTATGTAGAATGCAAAACACATCCATGGATGAGAAAATGTTGCACAGTACCCTACTTCTAACTCTTGTAGAAAATTGGTTCTTTCAAGCTTTGTTCATTCATCACAAAACCATGAAATGGCATGAAAAAAAACCAAAAGTAGATTTCATAATAGATCAAATCTACCACTTCAGTTCTCAGAGTCTTATACATCTGGGATAGTCCAGCTTTAATTTCTAACAGAGGGGCATCCAAAAGCAAGTTGCATCACTTCATTCTGTTCTGCAGTTTTATTCCCATTAGAACCATTAGAGCTGATTGTAAACAAGTTTACCTGCTTACAGCCTGACTGTAAAAACATCACAACTGGTTTCCTGAGAACAATGTTAGTTTATGTTTTGAAACCAGCTATGAGCAAGACTGTAAACTAAAGGTAACTGTAAACTGTCTGAAGAATGGCACTGCATGAGATACTCACCTTCTATGGCAGAAAGCAGGACACGTGAATGGTCATATGCAATCACATTTGCATATCTATTCTTTGGTTTGTTAACTTCCAGGTTGGAATGCTCCCATGTGAACTGCTGCCCAGGATCAATGGACTGTAAGAAAAAAAAAGTAGATTTTAGAACTAAATACCTCTTTCAATTACCAGACTCTATCTAAAATTTCCACCTGCCCATTATTTATAAAACTTCATGTTAAATGTTTCAGAAACACACAGCAAAACTTAATCTGACGAGGATAATTTAAGGTTTTGTTAAAAATGTTTCACAGAATGTAATGGAAATCCATTTTCCAATACTAAGTCTTTGTTGCTATTTAACCTATTCAAATGTACCCGTGTTCTTTTAGAATGATACATGTTAATCATATGCAATGTACAGTAGTTAAATTAAGACCCTTGTTGCTCCTACAAGTTTTTGCAGCTTTTACCAACATACATATTCCAAGTCAAAGGCAGCAAACAAACCAACCAAATAATATCTAATATACAGTGCACTAAAATAAAAAAATTAAAGTCACAGATTTAGCTTGAAAGAAAAGTGATACTGACTTTTAGAGAGTACAATCAGAACTATTCTGTGGGTCTTTGTATTCTGAATGACCTTTAATAAAATAAGTCTCCTCTTTAAAGTTACCTTTACCATCCATCTGGCACTTTATCTTACACCAGGTCATGAGAGTTACCTATACATAAGACTGCAACTGTTTTTCCAAAAATATATACTTTGCTGAAAATTGTGATGTCTACAAAACGGCTTTTAAGAAAAGCAGTTTATATTATGGAGCAAGGTCCAATAATTAATACAAAATATTCAGAGTACAATACTAATAGTACTTTTGCTCTGAGGTATGCTCCTGATAACATTTATCATATACTGTAGGCTAAATTATTTTAAACACACACAAACATGTTCACCATTTACAACAAGAAATAATCTAAGAACATGTCATCTTATAATATCATCTATTTTTAATCATTAAACTGATTTGTATCAGTGCACAGCCCAGGAAAATGTGTCACAGGAATGAGCAGTCTCTCTATGTAGCAGGTAAAACACATTTTCAGTGGCAAATATATATTTTCCTCTGCATTCCCTGTAGGAAGACTGTAGGCAATCTGTTAATAGGCTACAGTTTCTGGTTCCACAAATTCCTGAAGGAGGCTTTTTTTCTTACAAACGTTTACTTTAACTTCAAGAAGGTAAACCAGTGCCCCTAGAATCTTGGTAAATTCACAATTAATCCCTCACAACTCACAGTTATTCTACGGAAGGAAATGCTTTTGACCTTGGCTGAAGTCAGGAACGTGATTATGTTTTTTACCAAGAAGAAAAGCAGAAACAAATGGCAAAGCAGCAAGTTTGAGGCTGAAGCAGCAGAGGGCACTGTCTTGAGCAATAATACTTTGTCATTAGGTTTATACCACTTTTCTTTTGCACTGCTGTGTTTTTAGTTGTTGTTCAGTTTGTTGGCCGCTGTGAATACATCAACATGTATAATGCAAATAAATAATAATAAAAACATAAAATCAGAATGAACTTGCTGATTTTCTACTGTTTTCTGCTTTGTCATTTGAATTAAGTGATTGGAAAAAAAAGTTCACAGATGCACATGAAAACAAAAAATGAATAATAATCCTTGCATTTGTACAGTTCTATGGTGTATTTAATCGCAAAGGACCCAAAAGCACCTCAAATTTTGGGCACAATTTATGCAGCCTTTTTTCCACATTTTGTATCACTATTGTTACGAATAGTTTGGAATCTCTGATCTTTAACTCATCTCACATCCTGTGTCGAAATCAGATATCCTTCAACTCGAAACATGTGCTGTCAGAGTAATCTTTTACACTGTGAGCCCCACTGTGCCAGTAGTGCAACTTGTATTGTCTGGAGGAGTGATGGAACTGGCAAGTCACAGGGGTTGCTGATGTAGGACAAACATTCTGGCCAATTCAGTCCACACCAACTGAGTCTAAACTATTTTACCCTGCTGCTTTGGGAACCCCCAAAACAAGTCCTTGAACGAGGGTCCATGGGTTTAACATCTCAGTAGCCTCAGAAATACATTCTACTATAAAACATGTTGACATAGATTCAACAGTACTGCCATAATATACATGGCTGTTCATGCATCTTTGTGAAAAAGAAATATGAATAACATACAGTATGCATACATTGATTTCATACTAATTCCACAGGAGATTATGCATCATTTCATATGTAATTAAATACATAATGGACACTTATTGTAGAAACTTACTGATCCATGTACTTTAAACTCAGTGCTAGGAAACTAGAATTATAGACCACAACTGTAATGCATTTCTACATTGAACTGAACAAATGAATCACAATAAGAATATGCACTTTCTACAATTCATTCTTGCAAAGCAGTAGTTTCAAATATGGCAAAGGGATACCTAAACTGGGCTGTGAGACAGAACACACAGTAGGGCTTAATTTTTTAAATGGCGGACTTTTTATGAGTGTGAAAATTAATGGCTTATGGATAACACTATTGAAAAAAAACTCATTAACTCCAGTCACTGCACAATAATTAAAGAGTACAAAAAACATCCAAATTAGGTTTACCAATATCCGTATAACTCTAAAGCTATGGCACTTAAAAGAACTCACATGTGAGCCCATACAGAGAGAGCATGCAATTCCGAATGACTTACAATACATAATTATGGGTTTGGAATATGCTTCAATGTGCTTTACTTTTGGAATCATAGAACCATGTGTCTCTGGTTATCTCACCACAATTACTTACAAATTCCCTTAGGCTGATTTATTAAATACATTTCAATAACAAATTCATTCCCAACAACTGGCTGCTCCTTGACCTGGGTTATTTGTTAAACCACTCTAATTTGAAAAACGCTGTCCATTTACAAATTTCTTCAGTCTGAGATTAGTGGTAATTATGAATCCACACTGAAAGGTTTGAAACGTGCCCTTCTGAACCAAACATTTGGAGACCACAAATTAAGCGTGGCTTGATCAAATCGTGACACGAGTTTCTTCACTCTTTCCATGGATATAATTTAAGTTGCTGGGCAGCACCAACAAACTAATGTTGTTTCCCATATATATGGTGAGAGTTTCATGTAATAATATTAAATTAATATATTGCGTTCTGGTCTAAACTAAAAACATGTGCTTAAAATGTAATATAACAAATATCCCCACTGGTCTTTTAAATACCGCTATAACTTTTATAAAAGTAGTTCAGGCATTAGTGATACATTTTCATGAATATTTTATGCAATGCAATGACAATGTATAAAAATAAATTCACTAATTTGTCATAACACGGGTCTATTGAAAGGATTGCAAATAAACCGACGAATTGTCTTACTACTTTCCAACCGATGTTTATTTTTAGAGATCTCTGAAATTTCAGACAAGGCCAAACATACCCTCTAGAGACTACTGTTATTTAAATTGCATGTAATTATGATGTGCTTAAACTGAATTATAGTATCGTTTTACATTTCCCTTTGTCTGACAAGTGCAGACTAAAATTCACGTCTCCAGATGAAATGTGTAAATCAGGCAAAAGTCTATGCTTTGATTTTTTTTCTTCTATGTATCTTATTTGTGAATCTTTTGATTTTCTGCACAACATTCAAGAGAAGGTTATGTACAGTCTTCATCTGGAGAAGCCATAGGTCTATTGCCAAATTTTCTCCTATGGCAACAGATGGAAGGGACAGCAACTGATGAAACTTTTAGGTTCTGGAAAACTGCCTATTGACTCTTTTCTTCCTATTGATGCATCTTCCTACCCTGTTTACTACACAATATTTAATGTCCATTGTTTTCTGAGAAAGATTTTAAAAAAATGTACAGTATGTGCCTGAAAGCCAACTATTTCGAAAGAGATTCTAACAGCACACATTTGTTCCACAAACTCAAAATTTATGCATTGCACACTACACAAAACCATTTTTAGTTTGAAATTTTGCATGTGAATTTTGCCTAACTCATTGCCTCCACTTCCTGCTTTCCCTATAATGCCATTTTCCAATTCCATCTCACTGCCACCACAACCTTACATGCAAGAAAGTCTTCCAGTATAGGAGAAAATTCATCTTTTCATGCAGGGCACCCAGTGAGCAGATGTTTCAGCCAAACTACAGAATCCATTAGAACAACATTTAGCTAAATAAGCCAGTTCTGAAATGGCCTCTCTTTTCATTTACTCAGAAGCTGTGCTGCACTGCACAATTCCTGTCAGAGGCAGTTTTCATCTGTTTGTCTACAGCTCCTGCTAATGTAGTACACATGCGAATACAAACATAACATGCGACTGCACTTTCATTTCAGAGTGTGAAAGTTGAGTAAATTTAGATTTTTATCTTCTTTGTGCTATCTGATTTATTAAACCTATTTTTTTTTACAAAACTATTGTACACTGGGGTAAAAGAAGGCAATTAACAAGACAAAGATAATCTTAAACCAATTTAATTTACTACATGAGGATCTTGTATCCATTTCGATTGGTCTAGAGTAGCTTACTTTGGTGTAGTCACATTCAACGTGCATATAGTTTAACCATTGATCGCAATGAGGCAGTTCAATCTTGGAATGTGGAAAATGTGATAATCAAGTATTATTTCAATTAAGTGAATTAAGCTGATTTAAACCCTCTGCTCTATCACCTGGACTAAAATCACCACTACTTTGTCATCATCTCAAACGTTCAGTGCTATGTTATTTCAGAAGACTCTTTAATTTTTGCTTTATTCCATTTTAACATATACATTATGTCAAAACCATTGGAAAGCTAGCTGACAGAGAACCTCGAAGAAAGGACATCAAGCATCACTTAGTGCTTGCTGTTCAAAGTAGACCCTTCTGGATATTTCTAATTTACTTTTAATGTAACGCTGTCACCCAAATTGCTCTTCAGGTGGTCAAAGCCTTGCAACACTCGACATTTTGATCATGTTTTTAAATTATGCTTTTAATGTGTTTAAAAAATGCCTGTTTGATAAATGGTTTATTCAATGAAACAATTGTCATTAATAGAAGCTGTTAAGTTAAAAATTCAGCACGGAGCCTGCAGTGTCTGACTTTTTAACTACCTTACAAAATTATCTAAATCTTGTTTTACATGACATAACATCTAAGACGTAACAATCACATATGTTATTAATTAGGAACGTGCTATTCCATAACTCAAAATGTGCAGACCGCTGCACATATTTCCTAATAAATGTCCTTATTTTTCCAAATATATATTTGTTTCTTTTTCACTCTTCATGAACAGTAGCTAGCATTTGTAATTTGATGCATTAAAATAACAATAATGTTATGGCATCGTGGCTGCTAGCCGAGATGTGACTTCATCTTCTGAGGCATTAGCAGTCACAGAGAAGAGCTGGTGCAGAAGGTTAACCACAGGCTTTCACACATAATGGCTCTGACAAAAGCCTATCTTGTATGTTTCACAAGATATAGTTAAGATTTTACAGAGAGCAGTCAAATTATCACAACCAGAAACAATTATTTTAGTGTCAAAATGATTTAAAATTAGTCTTTTAAATGACAGATGGCTTTCAATCCTGTTAGCTTGAAGACTATTTTTAAATTCAGAAGTAAATACAATTGCTGGAAAAAATCCTTAGTGCCGGTATATATATAATTTATCATTGTACAGGAAAGATAAGAGATTCCTGAACTTCAAAATAAATATATATTTGTTCTTGTGTTATACATTACATTGATAAAATATGAGTGGGTTTTATACCACTCTTTGATTGCTGTTGATTATCCAAGTCAACAATACATGTACATACTGCATAGATAGTAGCAGACATCTTGCTGTGTATAACACTGTCCAGATAAGTGATTCTACCAGGCAAATTTTAAAGGATTTGGTTAGGGATACCCCACATATGCTCAGTGATATTCGTGTACAGTAGTTAATTTATCCAGAGCAGAACTCTGGTAACCACACTGAGGGGGCAGGATTGTGGGCAGCTTGATGATTACAGCTGGGGCTCTGTGAAGAAAATGCAAACTACTGTCCAAAAATGTCCCAGAGAGATTTCTACACATCTATGCCAATGTCCATTTGTCCAAAATGGGTAGCATTTTACAGCCCTGTAATGGGTGTGCTATTTAGTTGGTATATAAAAGAATAGTTTTGAGAAAAAGCATGCAGAAGAAATGTAATTATGTTGCCACTAATACTCATGTTTAAGACTGCTTTTCAAGAAAGGCACAGCTCAGAATCTTCCATTTTACATGCTCTTCGAGTAGTAATGAGATTATACAACAGAGTCTGTAACCTTTTCAGAACCTCAAAATTAAATGGCAAACAACTGTTATTCTGAGAATGGAAATGTGGCTGTTATTTGATACTGTAAATGGGTGAACTTTTTCATTTCAGCCAAGTATTAACATTTTTATGTATTCCAAATTCTGCTCTTATACAATTTGGCATGTTATAAAGATTATTTGTTCTATAAGGCAAAAATGAATGCTTTTTATCAACATTATTTACTGTTTGGGGGACAAATAGCTGTTATTCTTGTCACAGGAGACAAATGTATTTGAAATTCATCATTATATGGTTTTGATAGGTTTGCTTGCTCATATGTTAGAACAGTATGATGAAAAATCAAAACCATGAAGGCAGTGAGTATAGACAAATGTACTAAATATATAACCCAATTACCACAGCTAACAGTCTGAATAACTAGCAGACAGTTAGCACTTGTGAGCTGCATATTCTTCATTCAATAAGAATCCCAGTCTCCGAAGTGTCCCATACAACAATGTATGATGTGCATTTCTAGATAACCAGCATTTTTGTGTTTTGTGTGTGCACAGACATGGGCACGGGCTAAGAAATTACAGTATACCAGGTTATCACCTTTAACCTAAAGGCACATTTAGTAGGACATTAAAAAAAGCCTCCATTTAGAAACAGAAATTAGTTTGCCATTGGTAGTGCATTAACTTCTGAAAAAGCGCAAAATGCAGAAATAAAGTATAATTAGGACCATTACCTCATATTCTTGGGAGAATTTCAAGTTGTCATTAGCCTTCAGCCTCTCTATGTGATCAGCAAGCTCCATGATGGGGATAGGAGGGTGGCTGGCCATACCTGTCAAAACAGACAAGAAAGATGTTTTGAATGATCAATGTAGCTTATCAAGGTAGCATAAATTGACAGTTATTAATTAGAAGCAGCATGTGTGTAAAGTAGCAATGAGAAGGTGAATCTTGTTAGGCAGACTGTTTGCTTTATCAAAGCAGGGCATGCTCACAGGATATGAATACAGAAGCCAATGAAAGTCACCAAGCATACTTCCAAAAGCTTACATTCCTAGTGTAAAAGAAAATGTTATTTGTACTATGCCGCAGAAAGGTTAGCATGACAAAAAAGTACATAAAAAGTTAGGCCCGATGTCGACATCTGCTTTGAATAATGACATGTTACAGTGTGTCATTTCACACTTCTCCTCCTGCAATGGATGAACATGAACACAGTGTAGATTAGATGGTGTGAGATTAACTAAGGTGCCTAAAGAGAAGAAGATAAGGTTTCGACACCAAAAAAGAGAAAAGTGACATATGCATAAACAAGATCAACTAACTTGACGAATGGAGGTTACCAGGGTAACCGGAGACACCTGAACCTGAAAAGGAAATGTTGGTATAAATAAAAGGTTGTATATTCTTGCAGTAATGTGGTGGACAATTTCAAAATAAACTTTAAAACAACAACAAAAGAAAATCAACAACAGCAGAAAATCAGGCCATGTAAACATACTAACTTAGGACTGCTGGTATGATTATATACTTAAGATATAAATCTAGCCACTCTGTCGCAGAGATTAGTAACACAGACACTGACATGCTAAATGTTTCTTAGTACATCATACAATTCCATGCATTTGCACATACTGCTGCAAAACGGACCACACAACCGGACCCGACAAAAATGTTTTCACTAGTAGCAGATTGTAGAGTGAGAGGGGTATTGAGGGAAAAACAAAATCAACAAAATGTAATTCTGGGGTTACTTTAGCTAATGAGACATTTAAGGGTCCCTCATCTGAACCCCAACCTTAATTCCTACAATCCACTTCAGATGTAAACATCTTTGTCCATTTCAATGCAAAGGAATGTGGAGCCACAAGCTTTAGTCTACCAGCTGCAAAGAAAAAAAATAAAACTTTTTAGGAGAATACAGATATTGAACCGCTTAGCACTAAAAGCCATTTACTGGGTTGCTAAGGTGGTGCTGTATGGAGGTGTACAAGTTGTGAAGGGCTGTTTTTTTTTTTGTCTTTAAAGCAGCTGGCAAGACCTCTACTCAGGGCACCTCAGAGCCACTGTGAGAGCACAATGGGGAAATAAGGGTGCTCGAACTGGAAAACAGAAATTTCAGGTTTTGAACAGCAAGATGGTGAGCACAGTGTTTCATTAGTGTTTCATGGATTCATTTTTTCACTTCCTTGATCATCCATGTGTGAGGGCACACTACACTTCACTTCTGCTACTTACCAATAACATAAGTAGCTATTAACTAATGGAGAACAGGGGCCCTTTATACTGAAGAGACACGAGTGTCTGGCATTAAAGCAGTTAAGATCTATCTCTGGCTGAGTTCAGTGACATTGCCATTCGAAGCGGCCCTATCCAAACATCAAGCACCCTTAAGAGCAAAATGTGTGTGAGGAAGCCTGACCGTAATTTCCAGCCGGGCCAGCTTACAAGATGGAGGTGGTCTAATGTAACACCTATGCGGTGCTTGAAATGAGACAATATAAGAGAGACAAAGATGTTTAGACCTTTTTGAGCGAGGCGAGGGAGAGAGCTATTATCATATAAGGACCGAGCAGCAGCTTGGCTAGAGAGGGAGGACACAGAGCCAATCAGGGAGGTGTATGGAACTGAAACACTGGTCGAGGCTGTGAAAAGGGAAAGCCAGGTGGAAACGGTCATTAGGTGTTAGTAAGAGCTCCGCAGTCTCAAGATTGTAAATGCTGCCCTTCAAACCTTATTGAAATGTTCTGAAAATACATAGCTTGAGAGCCTTAGTAGAGCTTCACAAATTGAACATAAATGTTGGGAAAATATAGACAGTTTACATAAAAACATGAATTTAGGGACATATATATAAAATGTGCCTGTGTACGGTGTGCTAGTTTTGCCACTATGTAAAAATGACAATGTCAGCAAGCATTCTTATGACACTTCTGCTGTATCTTGGCTGATATGTAGCTTATGGTTTAGAGTAATGTTGCCTTTCATACTCCATGAAAATGTTGCAAAAACAAATGTGGAATTTGCTGCAGTCAAATTGTCAGAGCAAATTAATTTATTAACAAAAATCCTACGAGAACTGATGTTTCCAAGTGGATGAATTGAAATAGGAACTTATCAGAGAGCAAGTTTAGTTTTATTGACCAGACATCTTCTGAGTTAGTTTTAGCTGGCTGTTGTTAGGATTTACACACTAAAGGTGGCCAGGATGTTTGTCCGCTTGGTGTTCAATGGCTCCTGAGGCTCACTGGGCACCTGTGAGCTTGTAGTGACAGTGACAGATGCACTATGTTCCTCCAATTGGTGCTAACTCTCCATTTGGGCGCTATGGAGCTGACAGCCTGTTAAAAGGTGGTTGCATTTCATAGGTGGGCATATTAGGAGACTGTGCACACATAGAATCCCATTCTCCTTGTTTGGCATAGGAGCTGTAAAAATAATGTAATTGTTGATAAACCACTGACAATTCCATATTGGGTGGGCAAGAAATTATAACTGGAGTATATAACGTCCATAGAGTTAGTGCATTACAGAGCAAGTTAAGAAAGTAAGAAAGGCAAAAACACTGCATGTGTGGGCATGGTTTCCCAAACTGTGTCTTTATTAGGATTCATTATTTTTATCTTCACCAGAGTAACAAAATAAATGTCAAAATAACTTTCAAATAGGGTTTTGGACCACAATAAATGCTACAGTTTTTTTTTTTTAAGTGATATAGACCTTTGGATTGTTTGGTCTGTTGGAATCTTCAAAATATAGGATATGTAGGCAACATAATTTTTATGTAACTATTTGCAAATTCTTTCCGTTTCTATAAATATAAATAATTCTACAGTAATATAAATAATTCCATAAAGTAATGGAGGTTTTCTGTGTGTACAGACCGCTCGAATCCAGAATATAAATTTAATTGCAGCGCAGAGAGCCTTAAATTAAATCAAAACTTCAACTTATCCACCAATTCCAAATTACAAAACATTTGATGGTGACATTGTGTGTCAGAAGCTTGTTCTTTCTGCTCTGCTGACAGATGCCATCAAGTACTGGGGTTATGATTTGCCATTGGCGACTGCATCAAAGTTGTGATTTAAAAATTGATATTTAGTTAATTAAATCTAGACAGTTTCTAGAATAATTTATTCATACAGCTCTGAAATAAAGCATTTTAGTAGCACTGTTTAGCACAAAAAATAGGAGGTATAAAAAATATGTAATATGAACACAACTATTGTAACAGTAAAAATGAATTCGGGGGGGGGGTCATGTTATCCGTTAGAATCTATGATCCAGATTTATATTAAACAGACCCATTGATAAAAGTCTAGAGAAGTGGTTCTCAAGCTTTGAAACACAATTCCCCCCATTCAGCTACCACAAAACCTATTTGTGAACTTAATATTGCATCAATGAATAGTAGTTATAACTTTAAAAAAATAGTGAATCAGATTAAAGGTAGCACAGTCCAAATTCTCATCTGAACGTTAGCCTCCAATATTATCAATGTAAACTCTAATGCTGCATATCTGCCACAAGTTTTGAAATTCTTCAGCTTTTGTGGAAGACAAAGCACAACGATCACTGAAAATCCAGTCCATACACAGCCTACATATTTTTTAGTTAGCTGTATATAAAAAGCTCTCACGCCACCCTTTAGATTATTATATGCCCCCCTAATGGAGTGTACCGGTTGAGAGCCCATGGACAAGAAAATGGCCACAATTTTCAGACCAGTATCTGCCAGCATATGGCACCATTCTGTCACAACATTTCAGTAAAGAATGCTTGATTGACAGCTGTATCGCCTCACATGGTACTTTAAAACAGTGAGGTTTAAGCAAAAACTGCCAGAAAAAAAAAAACACTTTTGTAGCATCACCCAGTACTGTACAATGGCTCAGTGGTGACCAACCCGAATCCTGCATCTTCAGAGCTCCTCTCCAATCTCAGTCAGTTCTCTATACATTGATCACCTATTGTTTAGACCTAAAAAGAAAGCCAGCAGATGCACTGGTCACCCAGGCCTGGGCCTAGGCCTGGGGTTGGATGCCGCTGACTTAAAGTAGTCTTTGACCTAATCTTTGAAAACATTGAAGAGGGAACTGCAATCTTTTTCAAACCTGTGCGGGAAAGCTTATGCATTGTTACATTTGTAAACCATATGGGGTAAAGACTGTTATACTACCACAATCATAGTTTATACTGGGAGAACAAAGCCAAAACCAGAGGAAATCCTTTCTTCCACCTCCTCCATTGGACCACAAAGTGTGCACAGAAATTCACTACATCAGCCATTTCAGAGCTCAACTTTTGATCCTTCATGAAATCCTAGGGCATGTGGTTCTTTTAAATGCAAAGTAAAACTCCACTTCTGGCCTATTTTTTGACTGCTGAGAGTGTTCCTTTTAGCCACAGATTAGTTTATATTTTATGTTTTTCTCTCGCTTCTTTTTACTTGTCCTTTAGTCTAATGACCCTTTATACTGCCTTCATGTACTTAATCACTAAAAATAAATGTCTATTCAACACGGTAGTAGTCAAAAGTCATGTATATTGAAAGGCAGTCACCTATTTACTTACCTCACCGATTGTTAGTAAGTGCAAGTGCTGGCCATATTAAGAGCACATGCAAATGTCCAGAGATGGGAGTCAATCAAATTGTCTGGGTGTGCTTTTCAAACTTATTTGTATGTTAATATATACAGTATATACAGTATAACAACTGCAATATATATCTGCTCTATGAACAGTCAAGAGAAAAGCTCTTAATGCATTTCTGTGTAATTGTGGGTTTTTCAAAATTTGTTGTGATAAAACTGACAACTTTTTTTGGTCACATATGAAAATGAATGGACACATAAGCTTAAATATATTTTGTTTTCAAATTTCTACTTACATATTTGTGAATTTGATCATATGCCAAAACTATGACTTTTGCATATTCTCTTTAAAACCCAAGCATGCCTGTTCAAATGTGTATTTAGTATGTATAACCTGAACATACTGTATACATACATATAGCACATATGAACACAAATATACTTAGAAAAAAAGACTTCACTTAGTATTTTACATTTGCAGAAAGTTAATCTAATTCAATAGTGTTGTTCTCATGTTTTTGTCCCAGAAAACTTCTTTCAATGACTCCTTTCTGCAGAAACCTGTATCTCTCTTTTGTCTGTTGAACGCAAATTTATTTGTCTGTACCACAGACAATATTTTAGAAAGTCCATTGTGACTCAGCTGAGCTGACGACAAGGATCCTGACCAGAACAAATGAATGTTTAACATCTGTGCACCTACCAGGTGTCTGGAAATTGAGGCGCCTCAGTTCTACTGGATCTGTGGGATGATGGGATGGTATCTCCTTGCTGTTAGGAAGGCTACTCTTTCTAGACTCAGATTCAGCCCTTTTCCTGAAATAACAAGAAATACGTACATCAAAAATAATCAATAGAAAAAGAATATGGAGTGAGTGCTACTGCACTGTGAGATTATCCTTAATGCAATTAAATGTATCACTTACTGTGAACTCTACCTTTAACGTAAAACAAAACACCACAGCACTACATTAAGATTAAGTCAGAAATGGACTAGAGGTACTGCTTCAACCTAAATTAAGATACACAGGCACAGCTCCAAATCAGCGCCTACCCAAGTGGTGTATGTGACTGTGTGAGCAGTTAAACCTCAGGATTAGATGGAAAGTTTCTGGAATGAAAAGACTATAAGATCATAATTTTCCAGCGCGTATCCCAGAATGTATTGACTTGTATGTAACTGAATCTATTTTTTTTATTACAATGAGATTCTTCTGAGATTCTTATGATTAACTAGTGGCATTGTACAGTTGGTACACAACCTAAACTGAAGTATCATGAAAGCCAGGAAGATAACTGCAATCAAAATATTAGAATTAATAGAATAATAAAAGAATAGAAGTCAAGAATTTGCTTAATGTTTTTACTAATAGCACCATTTTGAATAATGGAATTTAAAGCTTGCAGTGGAAGCAATAATGATCTCCTGTATAGAGATTTGGACAGCTAGGGTACATGCCAAAAGAACCTATTAACAAATATTAAACTGAATTCTATGAATTATACTGACAAATGCACTTTGGATTATTACATATTTTCTGTTGAAATTCTAAAGTAGTCACTAAAGTCTATTCACTATTGCTTGAAGTACTTCTAAGCATATGGTATAAGTTAAATTTCTAATTTAACATGATGTACTTCTACTAAATCTTCTTTTTTATGGATTAAATCCATCTGAATTCAAAACAACTGCCTGAAAAAATATTAAAACATATGCTGCACATTACTGCATTTCTGACCTTCCTTAAGATTAGCTGATATGCTGCTTAAAGAGATGAGAAAATGTCCATTCAATAATGACTGAAGGCTGAAATACACAAGAGTCAAGTACATATATTATAATGTGTGGATAAAATAAGAGTCAGGCTAGAGGCAAAAGACTTTCCATAAAAAAAAACCCATCATCTAGATCTTAAAAAAAATGGGACAATACGGTAAAGATAAAATGAGAGATGTTTATTTCTAAGAAGTACTGATTACACACCCCTTCCAGCTGACTCCAGAAAATTATCAATGCGCACTATCACAGCTAATGCAACACAATTAAACAAAAGCTTTCCATAAGCCATGCAATGAGGAACTGCAACATAAAGAATGAGATGGAATAAAGTGGCAAAACATGTCATGGATGTTGAAGAACATCCCTAATCCAAAGATAAACTCATGCTGTTTTACCCATTCCAAAACACATGTCTTTAGAGTTAAGGAGACAGAGCAGTCGCTCAGACAAAGACTCTGTGCCACAATCAATTTCCGCCCTGAGTAAAATGCCTTCTTGTGGGCACTGATCAGGTCCGATCAGGACAGGCTTGATATGGGGGTCTGGATTAACAGTGGAACAGAAAAATGAAATGCTTGGACTCTTAAGGTGGGAAAGCTATGCAAATGTGTAAAAGGGGTACAGTACCGGTATACTGATTGTTCCCTGCCAGACAGTAAATTTGATTGTGATGTCATACTGTTGAGAAAATATACCTATATGTGATATATTAGCATTAGCATAAGCATGCCATTTTTGTATAGATTTAAAAGGGAGTGGGGGTAATAGGGAAGCACATCTTTCTTTGCTTAAGACATGCACTTCCTACAGTAACTTTAATGCAGGCAAGGCAAATCATAATCTGTTCTCTTCAGTGTGGTGAAAAGTGCAGAGAAGCAGAAGGGGTCAATTTAACTGACATAAACACGCATACATCAGACATATCCAAATACGCACAGCTATTGTTTGACTTAATTATGTATAATATTCATTGGCACACCAAATGGAACTCATATTGGCATTGGCTGGCTTTAGCTGTAACAACAATAGCCTGCATTTCACTCGAAGCTCTACTGTACATCAACTAAATGGACCCCCTTCTGTTCATACAGTTGAGGCAAAAGATACAAGTTACATAATGATCAATGAAGGATGGGAATATAATAAACTACAAACTATGTCATTGCATAAAACTCAGTCACTATTAATAGTATTTTAATCGGACATACAAATGTATATTGTATAATCAGGATAAAATCGTAAAAATAAAAAACTTCTTAAGCTACTTCGCTACTTCTTTTTCACGGGTTTAATAAGATTCGCCGTTTCTAATGGCAGGAAATGTGAATAAATTTACTATAAATAATATAAAAGTAAAAAATGAATTGCATTTTATTTAATCTTGTTGCATATGCTGGTATGTACTCTGTACTTATATCCTGTATTGCTTGCTTTTTTCAGCATTAAAAATTAATAGTGGTACTGTGGCAAAGATCGATGATGCATTCTCAAAGCTTTAAAAACTATCAACATCACACGATGACAGTAATTGCTGTCATTGTGTTGTCCTTACGACTGCAGACTGGGTTTAACTTCAGAGAAAAGATGTCTATGTAAACAAATATCTGTATGCTGTTTTTTTCACTTGCACAATTAAGCCACGGCACTGGCCTTTAGTTCAATAAAATGTGATTAGCTAATGTCTTATTGTTCATATCCTTGCATCTGCTTCCAAGCAAATGCACGGGTATCTGAACATAAAGGTGCAGCTGGCACTGCTAAGACACAAAGCTGAACATGGCCAACCCTGGCCCAATGCATGAAGTATTTTGTTATTCTTGCTTTCACTGGTTAGACAATAACTTTATGCTGGAGTTCTAGGTGAAAGTGTACAAAATCTCTGACTTCAGTGGTTCTGGTTACCTTTCCAAATTTAACAAGACAGATACAACTGTGGCCTTTCTCTTATTGTTGCCTCCTATTTTAGAAACCTACAGTACATTTTAATAACAAGATGATGCAAACAACTCCTGAAAGAGGTTTAAACGAAGCATAATCTCCTGAGAGACCAGCTGACACAGAAACATTGGTGTATCTTCCGTGTGTCACTTCTTGTTCATGAGTTTTTTTTAACTCTTTTGAGAAGCTATTTACTTCCTTTTTGTTTTTGTGCCAGGACTAGCATTACAAACAGCTAAAGAAAAAAACAGGACCACAAGCATCTAACAAATACAATACATAAACAACAGAAAACCTAAATAAAAAGTAAAATGGGGATGACAAACAACACTTTTAGATATAAAAACAAAAATAAGAAGGTATATAATGGATGGCAATAGGTGTGTTATCTTCTTACCTGTCTGGTTTGCTGTTCCATTTACATGCAGCATAAAGAAATAAGGCAAGGCATTAGCTGGCCAGTGCAAATAACCACTTACCATGGCAGCAGGGTATTTCTATCACAGCTGCTTTGCTATCAGTGAAATTAGTAAATGGGTACCCATAAACACAGATAATGTGTTTAATCACACTGTAATGGAGAACATGACAAGGCACACAAAATGACAATGGTGTTTGCGTCATGGAAATTTCAGTTTATATGTCACGTTAGCTTTGCCTTACTACTTACATACCACCCTAAATTTCAGATCCTGTGGTAGTAGTTGAGTAAACATAAGCACCCTTTGTTACATTTTAAAGAAAATTTTCTTTAGCAACAAAAGAATCAGTGCCATCACAAACTAATACCTCCAGACTCTGGTAATGATCACCCCATTTTTATATCAGTTACTGTATGTTCCCTAACACATTTGTAACATAAAATGGAAAAATAACATAACTTAAGGAAAATGAAGTACACTCTCTCAGCACAGATCATCCAAGCACAGTATTTCATGGGAAAGCCTAATAAACCTAATAACTGAAATGTAAAGGAGTAGGTCAAGGATAGATAGAAATTGGAGTGATCAAAAGAGAAAACAAACCTCTCTATGAATAGTTATAGAGAGACGCTTCATCTGTCAAGAGACATCTAGCTGAGAAGCTTATGTCTCAAAGAAGAGACGGAAAACTTCAGTACAGCTGTGTAACACTAAACACTTTTTACCTATAGTAATACATCCTCAAACAACAGGATATACCACTATATTTCCTCCATAGGAAGTCTAAAGTTGCAACTGGGTGCATGTCACTAATGGTGCCAGCAATCCTTTAGTTCACATATCACAATAGGATTGCTAGATACCAGCATTAAGAAACGAATAGGCACAAAACAGTATGATCACAATCCAGGAAAAGTTATCGATAGATGATTGCACCATATGGGAAATGTCAGCACAAAAATATTGTTTTATATGAGCCAACCAACCAGACAAAATTTTCCACAATAGGAAGAAAACAGTATATCCTTTACAATCTGGCAATTCCAGACAATGCAAATTTAGTGCTGACTGAACACAAGGAGGTTGAGGTGATAAGGATTTGGAAATTAAAGATAAGAATGGTTCAGTGCTAACTGAAGCTCAGGAAATAATCAAGCAGTGATCTACAGAACACCTAAAAAACCCCTACTCTACAAAAGACATACAACAGAGCTACAAGAAGTAGCATTTTTCAGTGCAGCTTACATTGGTCACAACTTGTTAGACATAAAACAGATCATACCTGAGTACAGAACTAACATGATCTAATTTTCAAAGCATTCCAGAGATGGTGAAGAAATATTAAATATAGTAATATATCATATTTGTTCATTCTAGCAAAGCAATTTTCAGGACTACTTTTAGTTTAGTAATCTGCTTTTAGTCACTTTTGGTTGCAGCACTTAAACTAAGGCCATTTACTGTGTGAGATCTAGGAGAAACCCGAGGCTGTTTATTTCTGTATTAAAAGTGACATACGCCATATTGTTAAATTGTGGTATTACTGATAGACGCAAATGGGTTTTGACAGAGACTGCTTGCTTACGCTGAATAAAGAGGTTATCTCAGACAGATCAGTCCTATCTCCTTACCTCTTGTACAGGAGGATGGCAATGACAATGCAGATGATAAAGACAACAGCAAGCACTGGTCCCACCACCCAGATCAGACCTTCCTCCTCATCAATGATTGGCTGAGGATCGATGTCAGCTGACACCACCGGGTCAGAATAGGGGCTTGTCGCATACATGGTCTAGGACATCATTAAAAAAAAAGAATGTTAAAATAAATAAATGACTAAATCATGATTCAGATGGATAGCCAAAAAAACATACTCAAGAGAAAAAGAGATCATTTGTAAACCTTTGTAAATGTATGAGAACAATTGCAATATTAGATTTACAGTGCCTTCATATTTTATAGTATTAACCTTTATTTTATATCATTCCTCGCATGGTTCATGACTGCAAGGATGAGACTGTAAGTTATCATTAAAAACTCAGGAAGAATATAATAAATGCCTCTAATTTTTGAGGCATTAAATCATCAACCAACGCAATCATAGCATCAGTTGTGTCAAACTGAATGCGCACGAGAAAAATAATTTCAAAAACAAGGATCAATGATAAGATTGAAGAATCAATGACAATGATAAGAATATGCACTGCGTACACAGCACTACCCTCTGCGGAGTTTTTTGAGGTAATTTAAAGGATAGTTTTGAAAATGTCTTATCTTTTACAAAATAAAGCAATATCTAATGTCAATAAAATAGTTTACATTTATGTTTCCACTGATGAGGATTGATGAATGAAACCTCTCATATGATTTTAAGATAGTTTTTTTTTTAATATTTCTTTGCAAATGTACTTAAAAACAGAAAAACAAGTCTTTTGAAATAGAATTGCATTCAGGGTAAGAAAGTCAACATTTGAAACTGCTGCATCAGGTAGTTCTTTTATCACGGACAGCTAAGCACCCTACAGTCCAGACTTACAAATGCTATAAGATGACAGCCCCCACAGAAATCCAGTATTAATTGAGGCCCTGTGATGAAACACAGCTGGAGACACTGGTGTCTTCAATAGCCTTTATGTGCATTACACATAAATGACTTCCATATTCAAAGCAAACATTCCAAATACATTAAGTACACTAAAATCCACTTAAATTGTCAATGAGAATATAACAAACTCCACCTAAATAATCTAAATAAAAAATTCCAGAGCAATGAGTAGTTCCTCATAAACTATTCTTAATTTATTTTCAATTTGTCCCGCACATACTTTTCTGATTTTGTACTGCATACCAAGCATAGGAATGCTAGATAAGTTCTTGACTTGCATTTTAAAGAATTTGCTTTAATGAGTAAGGTTCAAATTTCCTGCTGTCTGTTATCAGAAATGCTGCTTACAGTAAAGATAACTGGAGCAAAGATATATGAGCTCATATGGCTTGAAAACCCACAGCTCATTATATAGAATATCCCCAAAATCTACCTAATCATCGTTCATTATCCTCAGACATCCTGAAATGTCAGAGATAAGGTTCACAGCACTTTACTGCAATTAAAGCAGCGTGAGTTATCTAGTTATACCTCTGATTAGACAAGAGTCTTCTTTTTCATAGAAATGACTGTTTCCTCAGTCGCTTGCTGCATTTGGAGTTAATTGTTTTTAAACTGACTAAAATAAGGGCAGATATGTCCACAGGGCAAAACCTCTGTTTATAGCTTGCGGGTTTGTCATTTACTGGAACATTCAATTTCTAGTACCAACAAAGACTCTGGGCTGCCTGAGGGGGGGATTTCTTGTCTAATGCCTTCCCGTTCAGGATTAAACAGATGTGAACATTGTTAGGTAAAGAAACTCACATTTTCAGAGATCTCCAACACAGCCAAAACAAAGAAGATATATTCTTGACCATTTAGGAGCTGCTTGTTTTCAAAGTCTCCGTAGATCTTCTGGTCTCCAAGGGTGAACTCGGTGGGCAGATCTTTGAAGTAGGCAGCAATGTAGGCTTTGGGTTCCACTTGTCTCCTGAACCGAAGACTCCTGCTCGTCCTGTTAATTTCTTTCAGCAGCTAAGCAGAAAATCATACCAGGAGTCAACATAAGTGCACAGGAAAGAACATTCTTGTTCTCAGAAAACCGGGACAATCATAAAAATGTCTTTTTTTTATTTTTTACTGTCAACTAGAAGTAATGAAGTGCACAGGCTCAAAAAAAAACTACAAAAAAGGAGTTTCATTTTTTTATTTTTCCTTTACTTCACTTATTTATATATTTACTTATTTTCATTTTGATATAATCATAGGGATGTGTGCCTCAGGGAAACTACTTGAAAATTAGGTATTTTCATATCAAGAGTCTCCTGGGGAGATATTACTAAAAGCAATTTCAACTGCTCTCATCCACAGGAGTGCATAATTTCAATGAACAACACAGGTATAAAATACGACTGAACTAATGAAAAAAAAAATCAAGAGGATGAATATATGAATGATTAAGCAATAAACTACAGAAAGCTATTTATCAATCTATTAAAAATAACATTTTTCCATATCAAAACAGTTTATCAAACTGCAAACAAATTAATTTTTGGTACTAAGATTTCCAAGAAAAATAACAGTTAATCCTCATGATTTCAGTGACCAAGGTTACTTACTGAGCCAAAACCAAATAAACAAATGCTCTCTATCAAACACAATCTGGACGAAGTACTGTAGTGCTACTTTTTCTGAAGTAAAGCCTCTAACTTTATTTATTTGATGACAGCACCCCTAAGCAGACAGCTGTAAGGTATTTACATTTTTAAGTCTTGACTTGCCATGAAAGATAAGAGAGCACACTCCTGGCCAAAATGAAACAGTGGCAGTAGATTCTTCCCACTGCTCTAAAACATATTCTGTCCCTGACCTTTGTTGAGCAATACTGTTAACTTTCAGTAAACAGGCTTGAATTGTGTGTCTTCACTCTCAATTTCTTCTTCAGGCCTAATGCATACTAAGCCAATCTCAGGACACCAAATGCATTCCATGTGCAACTTAAGCCAGATCTGATTCCAGGTCATCAGAGCCAAAAGGTGCCAAAGGCTGTTAAATGTGCCACCTGGTCCCCTTTATTACACATCTTCTGTATGTGACATACACCATTGCTCTCCCGGGGAAATCCTCACCAGGCAAACTCTGTCACATCATGTTATTATTATTCAAGATATTTGAGACACAATAGGGTTGTTGTGTTTTTTTTTAATTTGGCACACTGGTATACTGTAGGTATCAGAGATGATTGTGAATCACCACTCACTACTTCTAGGGTAATTTGTGATGACTATACAGTACTGTATATGCACTGTGTTTGTAAGGTAAGCCGGCCTATTCAAACTTTATTGACAATCTGTGTACCTAGGAGCAATGTATCATGTTCCACAGATAGCAACAGTGAGCACTAAAGGGTGCTTTGTCTTGGCCAGTTTCTAACGTAGGAATGTCCTGGGGACACATCCCCTAAATTAATAAGATTTAACCATTAATTTTAAAAAATCATACATAGACTTAGAACATCTTGTGTGTTGGTGCTCATCCAAGTACGATGCCCTATGCAGTAAAAAAACCTTCACATGTACAATGCCTATAGAGAGTCTACTCCCCTTTGAACTTTTGTGCAGGTGGCTTCTCTTAGGTAGTGCCATACAATACACTGTAGATGATCAGGTCTGGTAGAGTGTGTGTCCTCTCTTTTTCACAGATAAATGCCATTATTATAGTGCATTATAGCCATCAAACCAGAGCTTTTTTTATGTCTCCCAATATCACCTTTACATGTGCAATGTCACATCACAATGCTTTGTCATTTCATACTCAGGGAGTAACAAAGACTAACTAGAAGAATAGCTTATATTTGGAAATTGACAAAAATTAGTTTTTTCTACCTGTATATTAATAACACTATTGTCGAATGGGTCTCTACCATGATATCATATCAAATGTTAAATAGGTTAACATTGTGCAATGCAGAATCAAAATACGTGCTACGTTTTTAATTACATTTATGAAATCCCAGAGTTGCGGAGTTAATTCAAGGACACATCATGCTAAGACAGAGACAAATGGAAAAGGTCCTTAAGCACAAATAATGTTAATTGAAAACTGCAATACTACGAGTTTACCGCATGAATGTCTTCCCTCTAGCTTAGTATCAATGCACTGCGCAACAGCAGCGTAGGATACATCATATAAGGACATTCACGGACATAACCAAGGAAAGATTTTAGAAAAGAATATGTTAAAACAAGCAGAAACACTTCAAAGACATCCACGTAATGTATTAAGATAATTAGACTTCCAGTTAAACCTAGAAATTTACCCTAAAATAATGAATCACGTGTCCATACAAGCTGGTCTTAAAACAGAACAAATAATGTAATTCTTGAACCTGATTATTTTTATAAATGGAAAGCCTCTAACTGCTCTACCACTGAGGTGCAATGTCCTTTGCTAGATTATATCTTCAATCATATTTCCTCTCTCTACTGTCTTTCCTGCTAAACTGAATGTCCTTGGGGAAACTTGAAAAGGTGAAAGGAGATTGACAAACAAATAAATTCTGAAGGGTACTGTTTGATGATCAGTCATGCTGTGACATGAGCTTGCAATGTATTCTATGCACCTAGTGATGACTTCTGGAGATACAGCTCTGAAGTCATTCAATAAGATTAATTTCAAATGAGAGAACGCAAACATCAGCTTTAAAACTATTTAAAACTATATACACACATAGGCATAGAAGGATACCAGTAAGAAACAAAAACACACACACATAAATGAAAGAGTTTCCTCTGTGCAAGCAAACGGGCACATTTTTATACAACATTATAATTGGGACTGTTGGCAGCACTGAAGATGAAGGATAGCTAAAAATAGTATAAAGTGATATTTTTCCCTTCTAAAAAACCGAACATTACAGCTTGAACTAAATGAGAAAGAAGATATTGTCTGATGTAGAGTGTGCCCCTGGGTAGCCAGATTTCTGTTTGAGTTTGTTTTCTTTGGAACTCAACTCATGTTTTGTTATGAGATCCAGAACCAACCAAACTGTTATTGCCTGTTCTTTTTCGTACTATTGTAAGGTCCACCATGGACTGATCACTGCTGCTGTGGTTATTTGGAAACATATTGATCACAGGTATGGGTCATGGGAACTTTGACAAATTGCAGAACTTTCATTATACCATTTCCTCAAAATCCCAAAAATGTGCATTTTTCTTTCTTCTGCTACATGCTCACTTATAGCACAATCAGCTTCACATCTGGATGTTTTAAAAATAACTGTCTCTTTCCTTCAAAATTCCATGTACTGTAAGTAGGGCTTTATAGCATTATGTAGTACAAATTATATGAATTTGAGACTTAACAATCTTTAGATGTTTACATTTTATTACTGAAATTTTCATCCAGTTCCTTTATGATGTTTATAGAATTATCTACACCTTTCTGCACCAGTGTGTAAATATAGGTTGAAAGACAAATACACACAAGTTTTAATTATAAGATTAAACATATACATTGTTTACATCAGTAATGATTCAAAGAGCTCAATGAATATAATGAAAAATGTACTTTTTGTAATTTTGAATTAGTATTAATTTAATATTTTTCATTCAAAAACAGAACAAAATCTTAGTAGAATACCTCATTTCTCCATTCCCCCATTTAATAAAAATAATCCTAAAGAAATATTAGGCAGATTAATGCATCACAGGTTGCATCTCATTAAACTCCTCTGTTCTATGCAAACATGAGATTAGCTGGATGCAGTTCCTGCTCCACTGGAGTACTTATAAACTATTTAGATTGTGTTAAATTGATGCAACTACTTATTAATCAATTTGTATGTAATCTGAATAATTTGAAGACAAAATCGTATATGATCATATCTAAAGCCATTAAAATTATAACAAATTTGACATAGAAAATGCATATGTACAAAACTGTTATTTAAATTAGCAAAAATTATAAACTGTCCCTAAAGAATATAAAAAATAAAACTGCTATGTATTTCAAATTTGTAATAAAAACTAGAGTGACATCAGCAAAACAATTAAGGGAAATATTTTAATGTAAACCGTCCATGTTTCTTGGGAGTTTTTAAGAGCTAAGTTATGTCTTTTACAAAACAAAGCTTTTAAACTAAAACAGGAAGTGTCGTTCAAATCTTTAGTCAAGCTTAAAAAGCCTCATTTTAAATTATAGAATATGGTCCTAGTAATATTCCCTAAAACCTGAACACTGAAACTGGTTAACATACTATGCATAAAACAATGATATAATTAAATTATAAAATGTTAAAGTTATTTTTTACATCTAGAGAACATCGCATTATCATGATGTTTCATTTTTTAATTATTTTATCTAATTTTATGTAGGTTCCCTGTGGCTGTCCGTAACACAAACGGTTAAACCCGATAAATAGGTAAAAATAGACAACAGTGTGTATGGTATAGTGCTTACACTTTTTAAGATGCAAGAGAAATGTGTTCAAGCATTTTTCTAATTAAAATATTATAATCAGTGAACATACCTCCTCCAAATTCATTTCATCTGGACTGTCCCAAAGCTTGATAAATTTCCCACGTTGTTTCTTCAACGGCACTACCACAACGTAATAACCCCTGTAAATACAATGTGACGTTTTTCACAGTTACTGGATGAGCTAAGTTTGACCCCTACATTCACATGCATCTAATTCTTTTTACCGTTTTCATTTTGGACCATATTATTTTTATCTATGCATGCTCTTGAGAAAAAATACTTTAAAAATTAAGTATACTGTCACTGTTACTATATTGTCAAATCTTTTATTTATGTGCTCTTTCAGTCTATCTGAAACATAATAAGTTAGTTCAAGCTGACAGTCACACCTCACTCTGGCCTCATTAGGCATCTCTATAAGAGTAGAAATTAAAAGGATATCCATTAATCGGGATGTATAAAGATGATGACTTCACAAGCATTTTGTTTCCTGGCTGGATGTTATACAGCCATCACAGTCAGGAAGTCAACATAGCTGAGTAATAGGGAACTAATTAGTTTAAGATCCTAGCAGGGAACAGGTGTGTGCTCATTTAGAACAGTCAAAGAGATCAAAATGGCAAACTGCTGTCTTTTATAGATTTAAGGCTGTCTGTCAGTGCTGTCTTTTAAAGACCAGCTCAATATATCAGTCCTGCAGGGGTTAATTAAATATTGTAGTGGCATATGTGAAATACATTCTAAATGTGTTAATGAAATTGAGCTGGAAGACAGGTGCAAATACATAAACATGTAAAGCTAAGCTTTCAAACCGTGTGACATAAAGAATATATTATGATGAAAAATTGACTAAACACACTTAGTGTAGGGTCAGCTCCAGTTTGCATATAGGAGTTACACAAAATGAATGAAAAGACCTGGGTAACACCATTGCTCAGTGGGGAGCAGCTCCAGGATCCTCGGCTCGATTGCAGGTCTGTTTGTTTTGAGTGTACATGCTACCTTTGTGTTTTCATGGGTTTTCCCTGGGTCCTCCATTTTCCTCCCACATTCTGAAGACATCCTATCAAGGTTCACCATTGTTCTAAAATTCCAACATGTGTACACGTGTGAGTGGATGTATGCGTGTGTGTGCCCTGCGATGCACCGGCACTGTGATGGACTACTACTCCCTTCCAGGCGGTAGTACCACCTTGTACTCTGTGACTACCAGGTTAGGTTAGGGCTCACTGTGACACTCTAAAGATAAAGACGTCACTAGATGGACAGACAAATGAGATGAGCTATGCAGTTCCGTTGTTCCATCTCTTATCTGTCCTCACTTAACTACAGTGAAGCTCAGAACAAGAATAACCGCCTGTTACTCACTTCACTTTCTCTTTGGTTTCTACTGTTGGCAGCTCCACTGTCACCATCCCGTCAGAGTTGGTTTTTCCTATTAGGTAGGGCTTGGTACGTAGAACATCTGGTGCCGTCATGGTTGATACTCGGTGCTGGAGCCCCCCAGCGCTGTTGCCTCGGTTCGTCAGCAAGAAGGAGTACTGTGTTCCTGGCTGAAGGTTAGTGATCAGTTTTTGTGTGAGTTTCCCATCTACTTCAACACTCTGGCCATTGTCATACAGGATCTGGAAAAGGGAAGACAGAGATTACTCTTCATGATACTGAATCACACTGCCAAATATTTAAGCAATGAATTTCAATATGCACAGTCGATTTCAAAACTGAACTTTTTGGTACCACGAAGGACTCTACTAACAGTAAAAAGACAAGTTCAAATGAGCTGTTAAAACATTGTACACAAGTTTCTAATGTGTCTTTATACATGCTGCGTGCAAGTGAATAATGACACATTTATCCAGGGAATACAAATCATTAAGATGACTCTATTTTCAAAGCTCATGGGAAGGTAGATAATGAATAAAAATTACACATAGAGATTCTGGAGATACACTTGTGTAGAAATCGTCAAATCCACCTACTGTGAAAGGTTGAGCTGGATTGTAGTTTTCTGGTATCTCCCAAGTTAGCAGCACGGATGTCTTCATTGCAGCTTTCACATGAAAATTTTTTGCAAACACTGCTAAAAGAAAAGGCAGTGCAGATGATTTAGACAACATAACCAGCACCCCAGCTCCTCACAGCCCTGAGCACTTCGAGAAAAACTGAAAATCCAGTTTCTTACCTGTGTACCATCCATTAAACCAGCCTTAAGTTCTTCTTATGAACACTTCACAAAGCTAATACAACAACTCAGTCTTACCTGTTTCGGAAGAGCAACCCTTGTATAAATTTACTGAGATGACCAGGCACAGGGATAGGTACTGTACAGTAGGTACTTTAGTACTATACCTTTGACTCTTTGCTGGGTGTAATGGTAGCTATGAATATCTTGTAACGGAAGATTAATGCTGACACCCCACTCTCCTTTCTTGAGGTGAGGCCAAAAGGGGAGAGATCCTACCTTGATCAAGAGGCTGTGTCCTGAACTGGACACTTGGGCTATAAGGACCGGAACCTTTGCTGGTAAAAGCGCACATTTTAATATCGTAAGTGGTGTCTGCCTTTAAGCCATCAATTGTCACGGTAGTTTCAGGAGCAATGATGAAGATTTCTGAGGGGTTCCTTGGGCTGTTGATGTCCTTGTACTGGATGGCGTATCTGATAATGTTGCCGTTTTGCTCAGCCAATAAAACAGGTTTCCAGCTCAGCTGAATGGTGGTTGTAGTTATGCTGTCAGCAACAATATTTTGAGGGTAGCCACTCGGTACATCTTCAGGTGTAGAGATTTCTTTGACGATCTCCTCCCCAAATCCCACTTTGTTCCTGGATGCCAAACGGAAGACATAGGTGGCGCCTTTATGAATTTCCTTGGTGGTGTAGTGATGCTCCCTTTCAGAGAACTCTATTACAGTCAGGGGCTCATCCTTTCGGCCAAACCTCAGGCGATAGCCTTGCAAGGGGCCATAGGTAAATGTGGGTGGGTGCCACTGAAGTAACGCAGTCCCCATATTGGTGGTACCAACCATAAGTCTGGGCTTTTCTGGAACTGAAACAGAAGTAAAAAAAAAACAAAATAAGGAATGAATACCTCAACTTAAGAAATCCCTTTTTATATCTGATGTAGACCCACTGTAGACATCCCCCACAGAGCCAATCAGAATAGATGTATTCATTTTAATTTCAGAAGTTACACTGATAACCCATGCTTTTCCAATTTTCATCATAATAATCAAAAGAGGCTTAAGAGGCTCCTCCACATGTTTTTTTTTTCTGTTTATATACATGGCTTCGGTATATAACTGAATATTGTTGAATATATCTTAAGGCTGTCTTTTGCTCATAAAATATGCATGTTGTAATTCAATCCGAATACTTGATTACAATGTCGGCATTTTTCTTTCTTGCTGACATTATTTAAAATAAGACTTTCACTCAGATTAAGACAACAGTACAAACAATTTATAAGAAAGTCAGCGCTGGCACTCCTGGAAATGCCAAAAATACTCTTTTGATATACTCTTTTGATAAGTTCTATAAAGACTGCTTTTGCTGTCAGAATATGATATGTGTTTATGTTGTCTATGTCCCAGCTGCACGGCTTCAGTATTCTCAGCTCGAAATAAAAAAGACAGGTACAGCAAAATATCTTGCATTGCTGGCAACTTTTAAGTCTCTCTAGATGTGTGTTAGCATCAGCATAGCACTCAGAATCCATAGATACAGCTGTTTAAAAACAAAACAAAAAACAACAACAGCAGAAGAATGAGAGTTCATGCCCTCTCTCTGTTGTTTGTGAAGCAAAGCCATAGACATTAATCAGTCTCCTTTCATTTTCATCTTTGTTTACATCAAACGTATATGTCATACCTTTCAATTCTATAAAGGGCTCGCATACTGACTAATTACCTATGACTATCAATGAAGCTGATTATTTGTTTTAAGTCTAAATGTAACATACAGATGCAGCCATTCAAAATGAGCACGCTGCAGTACAACGCGATGGGCGTGTCGCATCAAAACGCGTCATTTTGCGTCATAACGCAATTTTACCGTATGCAAATTCGATTATGCTAATAGTATCCAGAATCACCTTGTAAAACCGCCAGGTGAAGCTAATAAAGCTTAACCTCTCATGTACAGCATTTGAGCTGTCACCAGAAAACACCCGGTTTCGAATCCCTATCACTGCAGAGGGACAATCTGTATTTAATTAAGAATTTAAGTTGTATACTCTTTAGACTTAAACGGTGTATTACAGCATGTTAATCAGTATACATTAAAAAGTTGGTATATGTTATGAAAGCAAGATTACTCAGTTGGACAAAAGTACACAACCTACCACCTTTTTCATAAATATTTTAATTATGCAGAACTATTTTATGGATCAAAGTCTTTACCGAAGATATTACTAATAGTATTAATAATGAATGACCTTACTTTTAGAATTTGAGTAATAGGGAATATAATATGGAATCGCTTATCTAAAGAAATTATAATGGTATAATATAATGAATAATTAACATAATTATATCGTTATTAATTTCTTTAGATACGTGATTCCATATTATATTCCCTATTAATCAAATTCTAAAAGTATGCTTTTGTTTTCTTTGATAACGAGCGTATTCGCAGAAAAGGTTAAAACGATAAATTTTCACAAAGTATATAAACGTACAGTAATATGGTCAGAAGGAGCCCGTAAAAACGTTTCCCAAAATAAAAACATGTAAGACTTTGATGCTTAAAATGTTTAGGGAGAAATGGAATACTGGTGTGTATTTTTTCTTTAAACTACCAATACCAGCCATATACAGTGCAGTTTGCATAATATGTTTATGTTCCTAAATTAATATCGCTTAGACCTTCAGATGTGCTATGCTCCTCTTCTTTTTATGCTCAGCTACTAAAATTTCCCCTTAGTTGTGAAATTCCATATAAACATTCAATACTAAGCGGATTAAAATGTGCACAGTAAAGAGATTAAATGATTAAATCTTTTCACCACCGACCGATGAACCACGAGTGCCCATCTGTCATTCTGGCCAGCCAATCACGTACCGCGGTACACCGCAGTGGCTTGTGCGTAGCTGCGTGCGGTACGGGTTTGTACTGCGAAGTTTGAATGGCTGCATCTGTATATGTTAATTTGACACTGCAGGACTTTTTTACATACTGAATGAATTCTTTCAAAACATTTGCCCCGCCTCTCCATAAGAACGAGTTGTGTATATGCAACATTTATGTGATATCAAAATCAAAACGCCATCCACAGGCAAAAGGGCTTTTGGTTTTTTATGGCTTTTATATTTAGATTTCACATTATACCCCTGAGTCTTTAATGTTTCTCCCTTGTAATTATGGCTCAAAACTAGAAGGTTGTGGGTGTAAATCCTGGGTGGCTCACTGCTTTTGTCACCTTGTTGACCTTGGAAATTATTGAGATGCAAAGGAAAACCAGGCTGCCGTTGCAAGTGATATTGTCGACCAGTAGGTGACACCAGTCCCCCTGGACTGAAAGTTTCATTTTCATGGCTCGCATGGAGCCTGGGGACACAACGTTATAGGAGGTGACATCTTGTGGATGACTTGTTGAGTGACTTTTTTGGTCATCCTTTTGATTGAACAGAGCTATTGTATATAAATGCAACCATTGATTAATTAAGCATCAATTAAACTAGCACCCGATATAAAAGCTAACATACCTGCACCAGTTGTGGAGACGAGCTTGGGCTTACTGCGAGCCCCGTCTCCTTTGGTTGTATACGCCGCAACAGCAACAGAGTAGGTGGTCTCAGCCTGAAGTTCAGAAATGATCATCTCCTGCAGATTATAAAAGACGCAGCATGAGAACCTCCACTTCACTTTTAAGGACTGATAAGTACATAACAAGCAGAGGTAAGGCATACAATTTGGAATGGCTACACTAATTGTCTACCTATTCACTTTCTTTCTTAATTCTTTTTCAATTTTCGTTTTTTTTAAGAGCAATGCCTTCCTTTTAAGACCCAACCTAATAAGTTCAACAAACTTTTTTTTGTATCTTATTTAGTAATAAGGCTTTATTGCATGTAATTTAACTTAATTTCTATTCACTGTACCTGTTTGGATAAACCTATAACATGACCAAGCTTTTTCTCTAGCCTTCCATTAACCCTAAAAGATTTAGTAGTTTAATTTGCTGTATGTTTATTTTTTATCTCATATACTTTATTTATTTTGATTTAGAGTGTAATTTGTATTGTAAATTCATATGTAAAGGCAATTTCTGCATGATATTTTTCATATTTTTCATTGCATCTTGGACTAGATTAACTCATTCCATTCACACTCTTTTATGTTCAAATTAAAGGTGTTCTTTGCATATAGCCAGAAGTAGTGAGGTAACCTAACCACCAGGTAGGAACAATCAGGAAATGATGTTCAGAATTCTAATGTATCCAAGTGTGTAATCAGAAGAAAAAGAACTGTAGTGTCACCTCATAATTTATTTTTTAATAATTAAATCACAAGCATGCTAAGCATCGCATTGGTAAATGAAAGGCTTTGTTAAACATGCTAATAATGTCAATATTAAAAATCAAGTATAATCAATAAACCAGAATTTCAGATGAAAAGTAAAACCTAAGGAAAGGATTTGTGATTGATCATGGTTTTGTTTCATTTAAAACCGATTATTACTGTTTTATTTTTGTTCTTTTTCCAAACAAGCCTCTAAAAAGTGTTTATAAAAGAATTATGCCAATTTTAGCACCAACCAAAAAGCAGAGCAAAAAATGAATAAAAAACATCCATGCACTGACACAGGACTGCCATCAAAAAGTACAGCGGAATTTAGAGCAGTAGTAAAAATGACAAGATTCCAACAGACAGACAAAGTATAGGTCAGGCCATGCTGGGCAGAAAGCTTAACAGATAGGCATGACACACTTGGATCAGTCCATATTTACTCACATGTTCAGTAGAATCATCATATTCCCACTGATTGAAATTTAGAAGATAGAAAGGAAAGAAAAAAACATGAACTAAGTGGGGGCGAACTACCAAGAGGGAAGACAGTCCAACTTACAGCGTACAGCTGCTGTTTCAGAAATTAACAACAAAAAGGCCTTTTATATTTTTTTTCCCTCCGCTAATAAATAACATCAGACATGTCACTTTACATAATCTCATTCGAGATCTCATTCTGCACATGCATCTTTCTAAAAATGAATATTGCAAAACCTTATTGCATGTCAATATTGTAAAATCTCATCTAAAGATGAAAACTTTCACCTTTGTAGAGAATGATAGAGAATGTATAAAGAATTATACTTAAGACACTGTTAAAATGTTAAATATTACTTGTGTATACATAATGTACACATACTTTACTTTATTAATAGTCAATTTTAAGCAAAACTAAAATGGTAACAATATGACAGACAGTATTAAAATTTATATTTCTATATTAACAAAATTAGTACATTTAGTGAATGCTAAGGCCATAAAAGGGTGTTGTTAAATGCTGTATAGTCAATTTTCTAACCACTTCTTCCAATTCAGGGTCACAGATGAGCCAGAGCCTATCCCAGACAACAACACCAGACTATCAAGACTATCGCAAGGCACACACATGGAAACGCACACACTCACACCAGGGCCACTTTTCCTAGAAGTCAGTTAACCAAGCAGTATGTTTCTGGACTGTGGGAGGAAGCCCTAGACTACAGGAAACACACAAACTTGTGGAGAACATGCAAACCTCACACAGACAGCAGCCCAAGCCCAGGCTTGAACCCAAGGCTGCAGTACTGCGAGGCAGAAATGCTAACCACTGGGCCACGGTGCCACCCATTAAAAACAGTGAAATGTCAAAATAATTTCTTCTCGGATACATTATTTATCCCCTATATCTAGCAGATAGCCTTATTTTTATATTGAAATATGTACATCCAAATTATTTAATTAGTTTAAAGTCCACTGTGTATTGATTATGTCAACATTGTACATATTTCTTATTTAAAGTACCCTGATTTTTAAAAAACAATTAATTAACATACTATTGTTCTCTAAAACCAAGCAGTCTAAAGCTCACCCGCTATTTACATTGTGCCTCACATTCTGTCAATAAAATATCTATGTTAAATAAAATGAGGAGTAATTCAATTTAATGTACATAGTTCTATATGACTGATTTGAATATTATGCACGCTTTCTTTAGCCATCATAAGTAAACTTACTGCAGGCACAGCTAACGACTTAATTAACAAATTCATACACAAACCCTTCAGTAACCAATTAATCTCTGTTGAAGCAAAGTTTTGTAAAAGTGTTCCACCTTGGGCTCCTCATAATTCATTCCAATCAGATATGGATTGTTTTCCTTCATATGTTAAATTATGCTCTTAGGAATATCTCTCAAAAAACTCTGGGACAAAGAGCTACCGTACTACATTAAATGAAAAAAAAAAACAGGAAAAAATTAAGGCTGTATAATCACATCTCGTATGTGTGATACTTGTAAATCAGAAGCATTTGATTTGTGCAATTCTTTGTATTTTTCATTTCATCCCTCTCTCAATCTGGAGTAAGCAATTGCTTTTTTTACTTCTCACCAATAGCACCAACCACTGTACAAACACAAGGAGAATTAAGAAGGGCCAGTCTGGAAGAGCAACTCTTTTGACATGCTTAAAGTTTCACAGCTTCTTACAAGAGAGTTAGCTCTGACTGGTGATGATGTCCCCCTTTAAGTCTGCAGGCACCTGTGATGTTACAGGTGTCTCTGGTTTTGCTGAGAGATAGGAGAGCACCGTCAACTAATTCTTACTGTACCTTATCGACCTCCAATTGTACACTAATCCCATAGGATAGCATGCCCAATGCCAGACAGAAACATGAGCTAGGCTCAAGCATTGCAATATCTGGTTCATTTGTGTTTAACGGCACTCAGTTTGAGTACTTCACTGGTTGAGAGACAAAGGAGCCCAGAACTTTATGTAAGAAACTAGAAACTAACAGGCATGGCACAATATATCTTCAAAAGGCAGTGACCCAGAACCCAGTGCTGAAGCTATCCATTAAGAGAGCATCATAAATTGTGAGTGAAGTGCTCACAGTGATAAAAAGTGGGAATCCTCTTTGAATTTGTGCAAGAAAACATTTATATAGAGCACATGATGGGTCTGACCATTCCAAACTTATCCTTATTGATGCTGACAGCAGCCATTTGTTAGTCATAGTTGGCTAGGGGCATTTAACTTCTTTATATTAATCCCATCGTGAATTAAGAGCTGAACCTGGGTTTCCACACACCCTCTTGTGCTAAAATCCGCAAATGTTTTGCGCAAAAGACAAAGTGGAAATCGTCAATACTTTACCTGGGCATCTTCAATCAAGATGTCCTTAATAACGGGTTGTCCGGTTGGCTCTCCATTTACCATCTTGACATAATGCACCTGGTAGCCTCGGATCTGCCCGTGCTGCTTGTTGGGAACCGGCGCACGCCAGATCGCTTTAATTGATGTGGAGTTGACAGCCTCCACCTCGACTTTACGAGGGGGACCACTGGGAACTGGAAGAACATCATGGGATAAAAGAAAAGGTCAAGATTACAGTGACCCCTCTCCTGCCCAACTCCGCAGAGCCCATTTGGGGAAAAAAAAATACAAAAAAGGGCAGATACCACAGCATTGAATGACATCAATATTTTAATAATGGTTAAGAAAAAAACAACCCAAAAAAGGTCTGAGAGCTGACCTAACATTTTGAAAGACAGCAAAAAAGTGATCAGTGGATTAAAAATATGGAATAAAAATGTAAGTATTTGGGAAAAAAAGCAAGAAAAAGCCAAGGGTGATGCTTCGAAGATCAAAGCATCACAAAAGATTAAAGAATTTGTCTGTGAACTGTAAAAACATTGAAAAAAAAAGAATGTTTGCTGTGGCCAAAAAGCATCCATTGCCTCTGGAGTTCTTCCCACTAACCTGTTTTGCCTGGCTGTCACGTTTAAAAAAAAAAAAGAAAAAGAAAATGGTATTACAGAATGAATTTTCCCCAAAAAAAAGCCAGGAAGCCAGGAGAAAAACTGGCAGCTGGAAGTGAGGTAACCGAGCTGCCTCCGACGGATGGGCTGCAGACAAAATGGATACGGTGGAGTCTAACTTTTTTGAACTTCTAATTAGGTGAGGGAGGAAAAACAAAAGTTCAAGGAGAATCAAAAATATTATTCAGCCTTGATGGCTGGAAAAAAGTCCGAAAAAATTCGAGGATCAAAAAGATTACAGAGGGGGGCTGGTTCAAGGTTAGTAATTTTGGGGCAAGGTAGAGATGTCTAAAAGCAGGACAGAGGGAGTGAGAGGGGGACTTTTGGGGAGCTTAGATAACTCTAGGCTTGCAAGACTGCATTGCTAGTTGTCTATTGGAGCAGCAGGAGCCAACATACCATCCTCGTCGGTGCGGATCAGCACGGGTAAGCTTTCAGGGCCCCGTCCAACATCTGTGTGGGCGCTCACTGTCACACGGTATTCTGTCCATTTTTCCAAGCCTTCCAAGAGGTACTGGGAACTTTCAGGGGGGAGGTCAGTGATTTGGCGGGGACTGGTATCCTCTCCTTCGGTAGCAGCATACTGGACGGAGTATTTGGTAAGGATTCCATTCTGTAATTCCACAGGTGGTGGCAGCCAACTTACCAGAATGCTGGTGGAGCTTGGGCTAGAGCATGTGACATCCTGCGGAGGCGCTGACGGCTCTGATTGGGGTTTGCGGGTGTTATTTCAAATCGAGTTTTGTTGGTGCGTTTCGTTTTTAAAAGCGGGGGTTCAGAGCAGGTTGGAGTGATGGAGGGTTTTATGATGGTGGAAACAAATGGAAAAAGAAAAGGGGGGGATAAAACGTAAAATGAAAACAAAATACACAGATCATGTTGCGGTTTATAAACCAAACTAAAATGAAATAAAACGTCATGAATTATTCCGGATCAAATGGAAAAAAACAATAAGCAAAGACCAACACCTTGGCTTGTCAAACTGAATGTACTGAAATGATGAATGATGAAAACCACACACCGAGGATGTTGTGTGAGGGGGTAAATAATGTGCTCAAAATGGAACCTTACAAGGCAAAACCTACCTTTGTTGTTTAAACCATTACACCCCTCTCTTGAAAACTGTATAAACCTTCCCTTGTGCCTACTGTAAAGTGTTCCCACAAGCCATGAGGCTGAATAGTAACAAAATATACACTGATACTGTAAGTAAACCCTCTGATTTAAGAACTGCCAGTGGTATAACCAGGATTCATGATCTGATCACACTAGAATTGGTCTTCCTTTATAAGGTACTCCTACACACAGATGCCAAAGAGAGGCAATGGATTTTGCTGAAAAGCAACTATCTCACAATCACCCTTTACCAAGCAATTACCACGAATCAAAAATATAAAGGTTGATGTTTCAACTCTCTTACTGAAGGAGAAAAGTTACATTATTCACCAACCTTTCCGGAGTCTGTTGGTTTGTGGTAAAAGCCTGATCATATAACAGTGCATTCAAAGAATAAAAGACTGATGTTCTGAAATCATCTAAGTAACACAGAAACATGCAAAGTCTTTTCGGGAGTGAACAGTTTACAAACAACAAGTAATATGGGGTTCTGGTATACATACCAAGTTCAGGTCAGACTTGATGAGCTTTGGACTGCACAGTAACTTATACCCACCTGCGTACTACCTGCTTCTGATTCAGACCTCAGATTTATGTTCATAAGAAGTTTTTTTCTCACTGTTATTAACTCAGGGCCTACAGAAGTACATTTTATGTACACACCCTTTGTAATTCTATACTTGTGGAGACCATTGATTAATTCCCATTCCATTTTAAATAATATTTTAAGCTCTGCCAAATCAAACTCAACACAGTGTATAAGCAGACCCAAAACAAGTTTTTTAGATTTTATGTGGTTTTGCGGTTTCAAAAAAATTATTTGCCTTGCCAGGACAACCTTTCCAGTCAACACAATGCCTGTTTCTCAGGAGTTACTTTTTTTGTGAAGACATTTTCTCAAATTTGGTCCTAACAAATACAGTAAACTTAAACAACCATACACACATAATTTACTTATATACACATTTTACTGTATGTAGCACATACACATTTAAAGGCATTTAAAAACAATAAATTCCTTATCATAAGCAATTTCATAATGCGTTCAAGGACAAATAGAATTAGATTCATGTACTTATTTAATTATTAACATGGTCAGTTTTAATAAATCTGAGGTCTGTCAGTGTGAATCAGTTAATATTTTTTAAATGTTCAGAGGATACTTGTGTTTGAGCTTTCTATTTTATGAGATGTCCTCTATAAAATAATCATGTCTGCTTTGTATTCAGTAACAGATGATAACGATTGCTGATGATGTTCAATGGCAGAATGCATTGGCCTCAATAGAAAAGTGTTTAGGCTCGCTAATTTCCTTAGAAAGCTCAATCACTGTATGCTAATGCATATCAGAGCTGACATGAAATGTCAAGAGACAAGGTTTTAAACTAAGTGAACACATACTTTTCTATTTAAATGAGAAACAGTTGAATAACTTTAAAAGAAACAATGAATTATTCATTATCTTATTCCTTTATTGGGGCTGCATCAGGACAAAAAGATTTTTAAACTTCAAAGGGAAAGAGTTTATGAAATGTTGCTATAAACTACATAACCTTGTCAGTTGACAATAAAGACAAGCCCACTCCAAGACTGATCTTACAATCCTTTTGAAATGAAAAGGAGTGCACACAGTCCTAATATAAGAAGCCAGTCAAACAAGAACATGTATTTTCACAACTCTGGTTAATTAAAGTATTCCGTTTTCAAAACTCAGTCACTGCTTTTCAACTTCCATGTATTGTTCAAGTTGACAAAATTATATTAAATCCTGGTCATAAGTTGACTTCTTCATTTATCTTTTGTTATCATTTATTTCATTTTAGCACATAGACACAAGGTTGTTCTAAAAACTACAGGCATATATGGGAAGTAAATGGGTTTGCTGTCTTGTATTCGTGCAGTACATACAGTATACTGTATATAATACAATAATGTTTGTTCACTTAAAGCCTTTAGTGCTGTGGTAGTGTAACGTACAGTAGGATCATAGAGAGTTTGCCACAGATGTACAATACAGGTGTATTGCCACTTATAAGTACAATTAATTGCACTTGTACGTTATTTGAAGAGAAGGATAGCACTGTATCTTTATAATTAAGATCGATTAAGATATTTGAATGTTAATTTTATTCATGATTTTTATTCCTGCTATTTCCCCTAAGCACTGAAGGTTGATGGCTGAAGCCTGAAGTTCCTTTCATCCATCCGTCTTTTTTCTGACAGATGTATCCAACAGAAGTTCGCAGGGGGAGCCGGAGCCTATCCTGGCAAGCAGCAGGTGCAAGCAGGATACATCCCGGATAGGATGCAGGACACACTCAAACACATCTAAACCCAATTTTCCCAGACACCAATTAACCTACCAGTATGTCTTTGGACTGCGGGAGGAAATCGGAGCTCACGGAGGATTCTGACTTGAACACAGGGAGATCATACAAACTCTACGCAAATGCAGGCCAGGTTAGGAAACTAACCTAGGGCTCTACCATTTAACTTCTTTTAGAACTTCGCAAATGACTTCATAAAAATGCCTCCTCTCCCCCTTAATAGTTTAACCCGCTACAACTTAATACTTATATAGGACTGTTGTATAAACCTGCAGTTGCCAATACTGCACATATAATGTAAAGTCTCCCTGGTAGAATGCAAAATTCTGTAGGCAATGTTCAAACATCTTCAAGGTAAACCACTACTTATGTTTTGGGTACAGAAACATAAAAAGAAAGATTACTTTTTATCTGTTTGCTTGCAACAGCATATTTTAATCTGTTGAAGGAGACTTTGAGTCCCAAGGCGCCTCAAAGGATAGAAAACATTTTCGGAGGGGAAGACATTTTCTTTTCATCTCATACGGCTTAAATAAATATTCAGCCACTGGGGTCAAACTTGGAGTAACATATTTGTTAAAGTGTTGTGACCTCCCAGTTTTTTTCTCAATCTGTTGACTTTTGAAAACGGAAGCCTTACTCGTGTTAGTTGCGCTGCCTGTTTTTCAGGCATGGCTCATTGCAAAAGAAAAACAAAATATCAGAGATTTTTCAAAGAAGAAGACCTACGTGTCTGGGGGGTTTCAGCTGATACCTCATTGGTATACGCGCCTATCCCATGCTTACTGCGCGCAGCCAGCAGAAAGGTGTAGGTGGTGAATGGTTTTAGTTCCTTTAACAGGTAGGATGTGGTTGGCTCAAAACTGCTACGTTTCTGTTGGACAGAGAAATACAGATATATTACTTTCAAAGGATAAAAACATGATTTCTTTGTTATCTGTTAAACAGCTGAGTCTTATTAATTAGACACAAAGTACATTTATTCTTATACATTCTCTAATTCAGCTCAAAACAGGACCAATAAATTATAAGTGACGTCCACAGGGTGAAGTAAAATATTTTCCATTTTTTGCTTTCCTTACTAATAACGGGGAAAACAATAAGTTAGTACATACCTCTTCTTTATCATCCCCTTTTCTATAAAGAAGTTCATATCCAATTATTTGATTGTCTTGACCGTTCTGTGCTGGTGGCACCCAAGACAGCAAAATGCTTGTTTCTGATTTTGCTTCAGCTTTGAAGTCAGTTGGCTGAGATGGAACTGCACATCAAAAACACAAAGACAACAATCCTTATTGAGGCTTTGTATTTAGAAAGCAAACCAAAATAACTTCCCAAAATAAAATCTCAGGCACTATGCAGCCATAACATTATGTAATTTTTTGCACAACAGAACAGTGCATGTAAACGTAGATAGAATTCAAGGGTAAAAATAATTTTGTGATATATCCATTAGGAAAAGTACAATTAACAGCAGAGTTTGAATCCACTGTTGCACATAATTTAGAATTTTTCCATTATTAGTTTTTAGTTAGCACATTGGGTGTTTGTTTTCTTCATTAAAAAGAGGGTTGTGGTAATGAAACAACAAATGAATATAAAGGTGAATCTCTTCTATATGATTTACCATCATGTTTTTTATTTCAGATCATGAAATTAAACAGAAGAATTCTCATATATTTCTAAATAAGCTTAAACATTTTGTCTTATGTCTTATGTCTTCTAAGTTAACTTATTAATGTACTTAGTACACATACATTTTTACTGTTTTATTTTTAAGTCTGTTCCTCTTTACAGCAGATATATATATATATGAATCTAAATGAAGAACAATTGATGTGAGAAAAAGCACCATCAAAACAAAATGTACATGTTTTATAACAGCATGTCTTTTTCTACTAATTAATATATGAAAATAGTTGCCAAAGACATCAAAATTAAAAGTGATGCTCAATGGGAAGAATCATTGCTTGCATTTATAGATGCAAATGTTCAGACTTAGCTTTTTAGAACTTTGTTAAAATGTTTTGTAAAACTTTAAGCAATATGAGATTATCCATTATGACAGGTGCTAGCTGGGATCTTGAATGAACAAATTTTAAAAAGATTTATTTTCCCAGACACCTCGTGCAGGACTCCCATGTCTTGTTATGAATTGAACAACATGTTTAATAAGGATAAATAAAATCTTGTCTGAGTCAGAGAGATCTAGTTTTGCTATATGACTTACATATCCCGCTTTAAAGTTTAGCCTTGTTCTGTATTACCCTGTGCTATTGTTAGAGTATTTGCCCTGTGAACACAGAATATCTTACTCCCTGTGCCCCTGGACCACAGTTATTAATCATTCAATACATTGGCACACTGCACTGTAAGTGTAGTGAGTTACCCACTGTCACATAACTATCAAGCATGAAAGAGACAAACACATAAACATAAACCTCACGTGTAACAGCTGTTTTTCAACTGTTTCAGTATAGATTATAGATTCTAGATTTATATATATTCTATATAGATTTGTTTGTCTTCACCATGAGAGGCTCTAAGGGAAAATGTTTGCTAGTCAAATAATCCTAAATAAAACAGAATGATCATTCAGATCCCAATGCATACCTGTAATAACAAGCAATTACATTAATTTAATGACCTAATTATTGAGTATGGGGTGATAGATTATATATTATTACAAAAGTGTGAGCAGAGATACAGTGCCTATAATAGTAAGGTAATATATAAACCACTGCACAGTCATTTGTCATGCCTTTGATAAACCTTCTCAGTAATCAGCTTCCTTACATTCTTAGGGGAATCCAAGCATTTAGTATTATGATTAGAGAAGATGTGAAAGTGTTTTTTCCTACCGTCAGGATAAAATAAAAAGTGTGAAATCCGTGAAGAAGAGATGACTCAAATGGGCAAAACAACTCCCTAGATAACTTCCCCTTTGCTGCATTCCTTTCAGGCTCTCTATTTTTAAGCTCTTGCTCATGATAGCAGGAGCTGACTACCAGATTAGCTGGCTTCCACCCACTGTCTCCCTGACTGAAACACATGGAGAGCTCACCTCCTGTTTTGGCTATGATCTGCAAATCCGGGGAGAGGGGTCCGTCTCCAACAGAGGTAAATGCCAGAACCTTGATGTAATATGTCTTATTTGGGATGAGTCCCTGGATGGTGAGTAGGTTAACGTCACGCACGATTTGCTTCTCCCAGTGATTGACGTGCTGGTTAGGCTCCGTGGTGTAATACACCCTGTAGCCCATAATCTGTCCATTAGCCTCCTCCGGTTCATCCCAGTGGATGATGGCGGTGGTGCTGCTAAGCATGCGGCCCCTAACCTGCCGCGGCGCTGTGCTTGGAGCCTGTTCAGCCGTCTTGGCTTCTATAGCTTCACTTGGTGGGCCACGTCCAATATTGTTCACTGCCACCACCCTGAACTCATAATCTGAATAGGGACTGAGGCCTCCAACACTGTAGCGGGTGGTCGCCACCCCGTCAATCTCCTTGTAAGTCTCCTCAGAAAACTTGGATTTGTGCTGAATGATGTAGTAAGAAACAGGCTCCGGGTTGCCAGAGTCCCACGTTAATGTGATACTTGTTGCTGTCCTCTCAGTTACGACAGGGGTCCCAGGAGCCTTGGGCAGTGCTGAAAATGACAACATGGATTAATTAGTGAGAACCTCAAATGTGACAGACTACACAAGCACTTACCTCAGACTTTAACTGTCACACCCAGTACACCTAGAGGGCGCTCTACTTCTCTCCTGTTCCTAGTTCCCTGTGATTATTCATGTCTTTCTGGTGTGTCTTGTTGTGTAGCCTTTTAACTTCCTGCTTCTGCTCTGCTCCTCGCTCAGCACCGAGGTTCGGATGTCCTGAAACCCGCCTAACACCAGGTCGCCCCACATCGATACCTGAGGGCATAGGTTTCTATACGACTCCTGAACTGCTGAGCCCGGGCTAACCCCTGTCTCGCTGCTACACATAGGATCTTTCATGCTCTCCTGCCCTTCCGTCCCTTCTCCTCTCGTCCCTTCCGACATCCGTGACATTTACACTGTTGACGTACACACGTAACAAACATATTTTTACTTTTTTTCAACTAAGGCTGTTCTGTAGTTTAAGATTAATTTAATGCACACTTTACTCTATGCGGCTTTATCAAATGAAGGACGTGTTTTTTTTCTTTTTCTTTATAATAGCTGCAATCGAAATCTCTTTTTCTTAAGATTTACATAAATTAATAAAAAATGAGAAAGTCCCCATATGGTCCCCTACATGGGATTAAAAATGTACCAGAAAACAGAAATCAAAGATGAAGTTCCTGATCCCAGGATTAATGTTTTTAATGTTTTTATTTGGGTCTAATTTAACACTAGCTCTTATTTTATTCAAGAAGTGGCATTAAGAAGTGACCATATCCACTGTTTTCTTTGAATAATCTCCACAAATGAAGTATAGGCATGTTTAGACATACAGTATGATGATTCTTTTCTGTTATGTCTAAACCTTCATATTGTACACACCTTGCTATAACAATGCAAACTTTAACAAGACATTCAATAACAATACAGTACACTTACAACAGCTCACAAATTTAATATACTGTATAGTGTATGATTGAAGATGGTAACTCCACATGGAGACAGTACACTTTTACTAGAAATGTACCTTATTTTTTACCCTTCTCACTGGCTTTCTGTAGTTACTGTATATTGCTCTATAGGTAACCTACCTCTCTGAATTTATTGTTTACAGAAATGAATCTGCCAGGTAATTAAAACTGTGCTGGACCTATTCATTACATTCAGTTTATAAATTGTTCTGTGAATGCCAGTTCCTGGAACCTTTTCAGAACATCTAAGAAAAAGTCTCTTTATTTTAAAATCTAAGTGTTTGAAGATGCGCAAGAAAGTTTAGTGATGTTCTCCTTGCAGTACTGTACTGTATCTCTGTACTGTACTGTGTCTGCCTATGCAAAGATACAACTTCCTAAAATCTGAGTGAGTAGTTTTGCAGTGAATTTTACCTGAAAGCTCAATGTGAGTATGCATGTGGTAACCCCCTCTGTCGAAGCAGCCCAACATTTTTGCTAGTGCGCGGATACCACAGTGCCTTAGTCAGAGTATGGAAATATGATTTTTATTACTATGCTCTACGGGCTGTGAGGTGTGAACCTTTCTTTTTCCGATTCCAGACTATTTTTCAAAGGAAGTAAGGGAAATCACCTTTGACTGTAATCTGTGCAATATCCTCAATGACACCCAGAGTAGACATTGCCACGCAGGTATAATTGGCGGACTGGCGAACATCCGTGAGCTCCAGCACATTCCTTCCAATGGGCATGTCATCCTCGGGCGTGAGGTCTTCCGAGCCAAGCATCCACTTGACGTAGGGCATGGGCGAGCCCACTGCCACGCAAGTGATGTTCACACTTCCTCCCGGCATGATCTCGTGGTCTGTTGGAGGAATTGAAAACCTCGGGGGAACACGCCGCACTGGAAGAAAAACACAAAACAGGTAACAACATGTGCGAAAGTGGGGATCGGGGGCTTTTAACTCACTAGCGAAACAACACTAGTTACAACAAATATGGGTTTTAAAAATTAGATTTATGTTACTTTGCACCATTACAATGAATATATTTTAGACTATTTCAATTGACTCTGGTTGAAATGTATTTGCCTCTATTGTTTTACGGTGTTGTAGAAACACATTCACACACAAGTTGATTCAAACCTAACAGGGCCCAACAGTGGACTAGCTACAGACTAACAATACACAAACACCATGCACAAAAAAGTATATCAATAATGACAGATATATAGAACAGCACAGAGTAAGAACTGGAGGATCAACAGCATGCTTGAGTTGAGTACGGAAACCAACTTCAATGCTGCGTACTTCCAGTTGATGTGAAGAAATGTGCCGGATCACATTGTCACATCACACAGACAGTAGCCCGTGATAGACACACCCAACTACAGTACATGGAAAAGTGCAACTCTTGATTTGCTCTCAAACTCAATCAAAAGTGGATGCAGCCCCAAAACCTCACACTAACAGTAACCAAAACAAAATGTTGAAACAGAACTAAAAAAAAAAAAAATCAAATCAAAGTATAAAATATACATTATAAATGCACATGGAGAGAAACAAGGCAAGAGTCTGGGGCATAATCTGGGTCTCTGTCATGCACACAAGCAAATGGCTGACTCTGGAAGACAACCATGCTTAGGACTGGTGGAGAGAAAGCTGGGAGGTCAACAATAACAAAAACGGAAGTCGAGTCACAAAGAAGGGGGACGGGACTCTGACCAATAGCTTTGGCTTCACGAGAAAGATAAACAGGGAGGTTGCTTAAAAGCTGGAATTGTCACGACATCTGCAGAACTAAGTGCCAAAGGGAGCACAAAAAGCAGCAGGAGAAGGAGAGGGGTGGGCACTGAGAAAATAAAGCTCAAAACAGACACGAGAAGCATTTCTTATCACTGGGAAGGGGTTGATTATATAAAACATAAAAACACAAAATACAGTTGCTTATAGGAAATTATCTCATGACTTTAAAAGGAAACTAAGGGCAGAAAGCAAAGAGGAGACTGGATCAGTGTTTCTGCTTAAAATACCCCTATCATTATATATTACAGAGATACATCAAAATCTTTCAATCTATACTGAACAGCTGAGCTTGATATACAGTAGGAGGGATTTTTAAAAGGACACTTTTATGTACCACTGCCTCTGAAGTGCAGATTTCACAATTCGCCCGTGGAATCTTTCAAAAACAATTGTTCTTCCCATTGTTTTTATTTGCAAAAGAGATCATTTTTTGCCCATATGACAGCAAGCCTGTATATGAAAAAGTGCTATAATGACCTCAGCAGGTACAGTGAGCATGTCTGATGATGTCCAATGGAAATTACACACAACAGAAGGAGTAAAGAAAGTAGGTCAAATCGCTGAACCCATTTAGATTTTTTTTCTCACCAGGGTTTATTGAATCCCTTTTAGTATTAAGGATATTGATTCCTTCAAAAATGATCTGTGCTTTAAAGCAGTGATAATCCTGTGGAAAGAACGTAGTATACACTACTCTCCACAGGCTGTATTTCCCTGTGCTAGGAACCAGTACCAAAAGACAGGGATTTTACAATCCCTATACCATATATTCTATGTAATTCTTTCTATAGAATGGCATATTTAGTATTTCTCTAAAAATATTTATTAAATCATCCAAAACATTTCCTGTTTTTCTATTTGTAATATAACATGTATCAGAATATTCACATTTGTACTGTTGTAACTGTTGATGATAAATGATAACCATTCTGTTTAGAATATGTATGTTACCATTACAAAAAGCAATTGTTCTCCTTAATGTTTAACAAATATAATGTAAAGAACGATATATTAGCCTGGTGTTAGAGCCATTACAACCTCTGTAAAGAGCCAAAATGGTTGCTCAGTGCATTAGCACACCATTAACATTATAATTAACATGGTCTTGAAAACCCCCTCTTGGTGAAGAACAGCTCACTAATTCTAAGGAGTTATTTTCTTTCTGCTTTACACAGATGTCCTCAGAAAACTTTGGCACAGAGCAATTCATAAGATATCTCACTATGAATACTTAACAAACAACACATTTTTTACAGTGTCCTCAATAATGCCCTTTTTAGGGTAATTCCTTCTGGAACTAAAGGGCCATATCTTTATGACTATGAGAAAAAAATGAAAGGACGGGCAGAGGAAGCACTTCTGATACGGACAACATACAAAGCAGAGTGCATGTCACTTTTTTATTTTTACTAAAACACATTAAAGATTGTTTCTCATCAAGTGACAGACATCTATAGGTGGGTCTTCATGCTCTAACACAGGTGCTTGGCAAAGTCATCTTAATGTCAAACTACATCTGTTGCCAAAGGTATCACCATGAGTAATCAAGCAGGAACACTGAACAGCACAGGGTAAAAATGGAGCAGACCACAGCTTGTGCATATACAGGTCGCCATGCATCCCACAATGCACATTCTCTCCCAACATGCATCACTTTTTGAAAAGTCAAGCATCATAGCCAAGACCAGAGCATTCTGTACAAAATTTCAACATGAACCAAAGAAAATAATACGAAAATGAAAAAAAGAAGAAGAAAAAGGCCACGCAGTGCAGCTTACATTCATTTCATTTGTATTCTTGTAATTGTTTTTTAATTAATGTTTTTTTTTGTAAGGTGGTTAAAAAGTAAAAACACACCAACCTTCTCGCAGCTCTGAGGGATGTAGGGGGTTTGATGCAGAACACAATGAAATGAGGAAAGGAGAAAAACAAGGGAAACACAGAGAGAGTAAAAAGGCCATATCAAGGCTTTCAACTGCTACTTGAAACATCTCTGCTAGCTCTTTTGAAGCCTTCCTGTCACCTTTTTTAACACCTGCATCTTCTTGATGCTACCTTAGAATCAGAAGCCCTAACTAGCATCATTTTGAAATTTTAACCATTCCACATTAAGAAAGAAAAACGTACCCAAGGTCTGAGGTATTACTGCACACTAAACCAGAGTTGAAGCAGGAATGGCAGAAACGGACTTCCTTCTCAGCCAGTTCCTGATGCTGAAAACCTTTTTAGACTCTAAGATGTATAAACCCAAAGCCCAAGAAGCGGACCCAGAGATAAAACATCCATGCTGTCCTGGAGATTCCTGCCAGATGTTACTAGGTAAGAGAGCTTGAAAAGGTTTGAAAGCAACTGCAAATTTAGCCAGACTGTGTCATACTGTACCTCCAATAATCACCAAATTCCTCAAACCTTGTGCAAGTTGTAAAGCATCAACAGAAAAATTAAACACATTAAAATTTCAAAATCAGGCTAGGTGACTGCCTAAATAATCATCCACACAGATTAAAATGAGTTCATGTTGTCGTAGTATCCATATGAATTTTTCTTACCAGTTCTAGGAAAAAGAGTACTCTGCAATCCATGTGAGAAATTAAAAATGGCAAGATATATTTTTAATAATATAAACTGATGTTTTGTCATCTTCTTGTCATTAAATATTTCTTAAAAGGTAAAGAAGAAGTTTTATATTCTTTGGGAAACTCATTAATATTCTATTTCTGAAATGTTTTTTGTACTTGCAATTGAAAGAAAGGTCCTATTTCAAGGAGGAAAAAGAAGACATGTCCATGTCCTCCAGAAAGGAAGTGACATTGAAAGATTAGCGAAACGTCTTGACGCTTATTGAAAGAGGGAAGCATGTGGAGACATCCCGCTCCACCATTGCAGAACCAGGAGTTAAAGGCAATTAGTAACACACCAAGCAATAGTGTTGTAAGTGTAAAAAAAAACAAAACAAAAAACAAAACAAATGCAAAGCACAGGTCCAAATTAATGCAAGGAAATAGAATGTAGAAATGTATACTTACAAACCCCATGTCACAGGATACACTGGACTCAAAGATGCAATAGTTAATCCAGTTCGCACAAGATTCAGTACCCTTTTAATCATGTGTCAAACATTTTCATATTACAATTTGCCATTTTTTTTTTTCATGAATTCAGTATCCCTTCTGAGTGAAAGGGTTCGCTTTTCTTTTCTCCTACCTCTGACATATAGATTGGCAGGGGCAGAGTATCGTGTACCATCATTGTTGGTCGCAACACATTCATATTTCCCCTGGTCAGACTCTTCGCTCTGCTCAATTTGGAGGGCACCTGCGAGGGAATAAAACGCATGGGGCACAAAGCCAGATTAAAAGGCTGCAGGTAAACTGGAGACCCGCACATATCAACCTCTGCTCAACTCCTGACAGGCCCTGCGTGTGAAGGTCCTTTTCCTCCAACTCCGCGCTTCACTAGATTTGTGCTACTTTTCTCTTGATTGAAACTGAACCGACAAAGGCTAATGTAATGAAAACAAAAACTGAACTTTCTCATGCTCGAGACCACAACCGCAACCTCAGGTAATTAAAAATCACCTCTGTGTTTTTCAGCAAGGCTGTTTGTTTTCTTGGTTACCAACCTGGACGTACAGTATGTCTTGAAGAGAACACTTTATTTAATATAGATACATAGATGAACATACAATTATTTCTATATTGCATTACTGCTTCTCCCATTGTCTCTGCCACACAGTGCTGACGTAGTTTCAGGAATCACACTCAGCCATTATGAGAGACATTATCAAACATGTACAAAGCAGTCTGGAGTTTTAAATGGCACTCAAAGCAGAAAGTCTTGAAATTACCTGTTTTGAGAAGGTTCACATATTTAAAGATACTATTTTAAATGTCTGTTCAACATTAAGGAGATTATTGTTACTCTAGAATTTCTCTAGACAAATGTAACAGATACAACAAGCAACTTTTCTTGGGGGGTAGGGGATAGGGGACATGGGGTAGACAATCCTGCAATAATACAACATTTCACTGGACTGGTCAATATGGAAATGGGTGAAGCAGCTTCGCGGGAAGCATGACTTGAATTAAACAAAAGAGGTTAACAGTATACAAAAGCACCATAAGGATAGGGAACAGTTTAAAAGAAACAAAGCCAGGGAGTTCTATAATATTATAATCATATTAAGTAACAGATGTATTTTATTTGGGGATGGTGTTTGACTTCACCATCTGATAGAAGCCCAAAAAATGCAGCAAATTCAAAAAAGGGGTAGGAAAAATCGCTGCTTGGATATAAAAAAAATAAATAGAACCGTGATTAGTTACAATAATAAAAAACAAAAACAAAAACAAAATACCATTGGAAATTACAAAACTTTGGACATGCAAATCTTTCCAAGAACAAGAAATGTATGTCAGAGCAACTTACAACCTTTTGACAACCCTTAGCTGAAAAATAAAATGCAAGTTGAATTAGAAGACAAAATTCAAAATCATGGCTGAAGCCCAACAAGAAATCAACCAACCACTGCCATATTGTGAAAGGGCAACAAGAGACACCCAGTAAAATCCACCAATGGGATCAGCAGTGTGGTGTCATAAAACCCAAGAAAAATGTTTTACGCATCAACCACTCTCCAACTTCAGCCATGTACTCAAAAATGACAAAAAGCGCACACCCTAAGTCAATTATCCTTTTCCAAACCCTAAAGAATCAAAAAAAGGTCAAAAGGTAAAACAGCCTTCAACAAAAGAGCAAAAGTAAGAAAAATAGGTGGAATAAAAAAGCACCGTAGGAACTTTATCAAAAAAGTAGTTGTTTGGGGCTTTTTTGTAGAAGGTAGAAGAAAGTAAACAGAAGAAAGAAAAAAAAGTTGGCAAAGATAGAAAGATTTTCTTTGGAAAAAAGTACAAGAAGTGTAAGAAAGGCAATGTTGTCTTCAGCATATCTGCATGAATCCACACCATCTTGGTTTTTAGTGCTGAACAAGAACAGCTAAGGGAAAAAAATGTTTGGTTGTTTTAGTTGGACAAAAAGAGGGACAAATGATTCGCTGTGACTGGGCTATGGCCAAAAACCAACAAAAAAAAAAAAAGATTTTAGATATGCTTCTTAATTCTCTGTTAAGCATATCACAAATTAAAAAAGAAGTTCCTTTTTTAACATTAAACAGAAATCAAAGAAAAAATAAAAGACACTTAATGGGAGAGTTAATGGAGTTAACCAAACAGGACAAATTAAAAAGGGAAAAGAATGAGGAATTTATGGATTTTTGTTTCTGTAACGGGACAAAAATGGGGAGGATGAGAGGACAGCAAGAATGAAATATTTCATTCTGTGAACGTTAGTTCAGCACTCTTACCTCGTATTGGTGTACCACCTGGGTGGATAATATGAATGCAAATAAGATTAGAAAGAAGAAGCATTAGTACGAGAAGAAGGAGGCTGGGGCTTTGGAAGAAGAATCAAATTAGATTTAACAGAGTAAGCAAATAAAGGTACTAAAAGGAAAAAAAAGAGAGTAGTTTTTTACTCTACTGGTAAAACAGGATTGTCATAGATATTAGATTATAAGAAAGTTGTACAGGTATGTACCACAAGGGCAATGCCATCTAAGAGTGGCATGGTTTCTGGAAGAGCATTAAGTGGGAGCTCTTTAAAGGGAGTTTGGATTATGAACGGGTTGAAACAGATTGTTAACCTAAAACCTGTAACTTAACCTTAACACATACTTTAAACAGGGTCTCTGTCTCTTAAAAGCATACTGGAAACACTACCGTATAGAAATATGCAAATATACACAGAGTGATAAGTAGGATACACTGAAGGCAGGTAGGAAAATAGTGTTGGTCAGGTGGGAATATGGCATCTACTTAACTACGTCTAAGTGACATTTGTGTGCTTTAGACAGGTGTTTCTATGGCTGGAACGACAACAATTGTGTGGAAGTGTGTGCCACTACGGATATCTGGTGACTACACTAACTGTTAGTAAAATGCATGCCATGCATTTTAATAATAGTTTGAATATGGAAATTAGTGGGGGTGAAGTGCGCTTCAGAACTAAGCACTTACCAAAGGATTCTGGAGATTTAAATACGGAGAGAAGAAAGACAGCATAAAAATATTATTATATTCCTTAGACTTTGGTACAACGTTTTCAGAATTAAAGCTTTATATACTATATACTGTATATTCTACTTCACAGGTGAAAAACGTTAATTCTTACATTAAAAGGTTAATTTACACAGTTCTGCTGACAACAAGCAAAAGGCAAGTTAACAAGACGAATTAACATCACAGGACAGGTCAAAAGCTGAGAATTCTGGGAAGACAGGTGGTCAAACATCTCAGGCTATAATTGGTATCATTACCAAATGCCAATCGTAACGGCTTAATACAAGCAAATATAGTAGCTGGGAACTATTTTATATAAGCTTATTTAATTATTTTGAATAAAAAATATCTAGATTACAGCAAAAAAGAGAAAATTGGGGGTTGGGAAAGGGAATATTAGGGAAACGCCATAGGCAAAGAGAAGCAGAAGCTGGAGTCTACACCAAAAGCAGGGACCGTAGATCCAGAGTTAAAGGACTGGGAAAGCTACTGCGCGATCTCACACACTACTGTGGCTACTTAGTTTAGAAAAAGCATTCCACTAGAAAAAGCACCATGGTTTTGTTAGTCGAAACAACTTCTCTTTGGTTACATTATGCAAAAGGTGTTATGTATTAGTGCAAGGGGAAAGTTAAGATCCAAACTGCTATTGATTTGGTTAAAAAACGTTGAAAAGAACACAAAATATAGGCATATACCTTTAGTGAATTCTGTTTATTTTCTTTTTGGTCATTTTGTTTTTTTTTTTTGTTGTTTTTTTTTTTTACCGAATGGTTAGAAACCACTGATACTCCTTTGCAAGTTCTGAATGAAGCCCAATGTTGAAAATTAATTGTTTTTCAGAAAATAAAATGGAAACAAAAGAAAAAAAAAGGAGAAAATGGATCCGTCAAATACTGCGAAAAAAGCAGTAAAGGAAAAAAAAATCATCAAAAAGTACAGTCACAGCAGTGAGCATTGTGGAGTAAACAGAAGCCGCAAACACACAAGACATTGAACAGGCCATGACAACAATCAGAGACAAGGACGACACACACCAAATAATACATAGAAGAGGAAAGGAGTAGAAACAATATAATTACCTACAAATTAAACCAACAAAAATGGGTAACAGCTCTTGTAGTTGTTAACAATAACAAGACCATACCTGATCGTAACTGCTTGATGCGCCCGTTATTGTTGCTTGTGTTAACAGGTAAGAAGTCTTTGAACCAGGAAATGTCTGGGTCTGGGTTTCCACTGGCAGCACAAAGCATGGTGGCTGTGCGTGTGCGCTCCACCACTTTCAACTGGGGGCCCATGTCTATGGTGGGAAAACCAGGAGGAAGCTGGTCCTCTGCAACACAGAAAACCACACCATGTTCAGAAAGGCAATCAAACGTGCCACAGCTCACACTAGAATGAGCTTATGTAAACAGACAACCAGAACATTTGACCATATAATAAGAGAAAATACTGCACCAAATATTTGGAACATGTAGAAATAATAATGCATTAAATCACAACCCTGCAAATAAATGCAACTCAAGTCTTATGTATTTGTAGCCATGAACAACATATTGTTTCTATACTTAGAATTTATATGATTGTGCTCAGCTTATTATCCTAATTCCCTACATCATTGCTTTTTTTTCTTGCAATGCTTTAATATTTTATAATGCAGACCAGCAGTGTAGAATAGGATATAAAACGTGTTCCCTGTTCTTGAAAACAACTACCGTTACAAGCAGTGTTTTGTCTTTTGCATTCTTCTCAAGGCGTACTGTTCCTCTATTTGTCTTTAATCTCTTCTTCAATGCTGAAACATCACTTTATGCTGTAGTTGCTCAACACACCCAAGCATGTTTCTTTAAAAGCATGGTTTCATGTTTGACTCTTGGCAATACTGGACAGAAATGCAACACATTCAACTCAACCAATGACAAGACAGTACGGAAAACTCAAAATGACTTTACTTTATGTCCACTCTGTTGTCTTTGTATGTTTTTGGACAGTCATTGTATCACTGCAGTTTGACCAGTAATGTTTTTTTTTCTAAAAAAGAACCAAATGAGAATGATGGGCTGAACAGCCTGTTCTCTCTCGCTTGTGTATTTTATGATACTCCGTTCTTCTACCACATCAGATCGAGAAGCAAGATGCAAAAGTATAATCCACAAGTCGATGAATTGTTTCATTAATGTCAAGTGAACATTTTCTTTTAAATGAATGATCAGGGTCAAATGCGTAAATTTGCTTTGTCGGTACTGGAGGAGTTCAGTGCTCTACAGTATCTTCTATTAAGCAACAGAGGGTTTCACCTTGGAAATAGTAGACAAAATCTGACTTGTGCTTACATAAAAAAAAAATCTCAGTGCATCTGCATGACCTTTGTGCTTATTTTACCACTGTTGTGTTCTCACTGGCTGTTTGGTACTCCAGAGTATTTTTTTTTAAATATATACATACTGTAGATGTGCACAACAATGAAGATGTAGCTTGCATACTAACAAGATGGAGTCCGCCCTAAGCTTCTCTTTCCCTTTTTAATAAGGGTAATTAAATTCCTTCCTTCCCCCTCATGCACGGCACCTTTTTGATTCACTCACTTCATTAAATTTTCATGAGAAACATCACAATGTAACAGATTTAAACAGCCAAAGCTATTGTATGCTGACAGTCATGGCCTGTTTCCAATCTGGGTTTCAGGTGTTTAAAAAAACAGCATTCAATATAAAATATCTTTAAAAATGTATTTTCTAATGAGAAAGCACCTGAAAGCAATGTTATACTGATTTCTTTTTGTGTCATTTTTTAATCATGTATTTTACCTTAAATTATACAAGATGATTCATTTCTTGTACACATTAAGATTGCTCTGCATTAAGATCATCTTCAGCTCTAAGACTAAATATTTTTTCTTGAACATAATAAACATCAAGATTTTGATACAATCTACCAGCATTACTCCTAAGGCTACATATGAAATACAAATTAAAATAAAATAATATTCAGATTCTTATCACAATCACAGTATTCAATGTGATATCTGTGACATTGGATTTTGGACTCCACTTATAGTTAATTCTGGAATACTACTCCTTAGGTCACAAAGTTAGAATTAATGAAAGTGAACCGGCAGTGTGAAGTAGCTTTTAGGGATCTGAACTTGTAACTAAAACTTTTTGTAAAAGGTTAGAGGTCCAAAACCCCAGTGAGAACAGTTCTTGTACCCCTGAACAAGATACTTTACTCAAATTTGCTTCGGATAAATTTTTATCTGGGCACACAGGCATAGAAATGCTGAATGTATCAGATAATTTAATAAACTACGAACTGATCTGTGACAAAGGAATGCATAAATTGCCTTTTTTATATCAAAACAACTTTTTACATTGTTTTAAAAAAGTATGGAAAACTTATTAAGTTTTCCACTGCAGGTCACTAAGAATGTGACAGCCTTCCTATATGTTCATGAAGCTTTACAATAGCATCTACAAAATGCAATGCAATGTCAAGCCATGCTAAATTAGTCATCACTAATTTAAATTAGCACTGACCTTCACTGAGCCATTTAACTCTGTCACTGTAATTGTCCATTAAACTGCAGATTATAGAACTTTTGCCTAACAGAATACTTTTATACTTTTTGAAATTATGTACATAATTATTATGCATTGTTATCATTCACCAAAAATACTTGGACTATGTCATTGTAACCAATAGTTGAAGTCTTTGCCTTTCTATTTCATGTGACCTTCCAAAAACATTTTTCCAGCAATACAGTATTTCAGGTGAAGTCACTGCTGTCAGTCCAGCAGGGAAGATATGGAGACAGTTTCCCATTCACTCCCCAGAGTGTGTTTTAACCACAGAGAACTAACAGAAAGTTTTATTATTAATTTGACATTTTACAAAATATTACAGAATTCACATGCAGTATGATACAAAACTACCTAGAACACATGTTCCTTTAACAACCTATGAAAAAAAATAGTGAAAATGGAAACCTTTGGAAAATCTTTGGCCTGCAAACATGGATCTCCCAGATGTCAATTAGAGTGCTCCTTTTGTGTTCTACACTGAACCCCAAACACAACCTCAACAACATGTTCTTCATTAGCGGAAAATACCACAACTGGTGAAGAGCTGCTATTTTCAGTGATTTGTAGCGCATCAAGCTACCTGTTGGGAGATGCTACAGGCTATGCTGACTCTATTAACGTCTCATGTTTCAATCAATCACACCACGAACGAATGGAGGTGAAGTACAGATAATGTGGCAACTGAAAAAAACTAACAGCTCACAAGTAAAAGATCCTTCAAGTACCCTAATAGGAAATATGACTCCTGTATCTCTTCCTAGAACAAAAGATGGAGACACCCTTGAATGTATGAACTTAAAGTATTTTGGCAGCAAATAGAGTATTTCTTTTCTAAATTGTTAAGATACTTTGTACACATACAACCACAAGTTGCATTTATCAAGCAGTGCGCTGTTGGAAGTAACTGGCATAAAAAGGAAAATAATGCAAATGACTTAATGTAAAAGCATACTGTATGAATATTGTTTAGTACATGCACACTGTTTTATTACAAAAATATGAAGACAAATGAATTTGTTCTTTAGTAAATCAGTATCAAGGGTTGGGGGCCCTGTGTTCTATACTGAGTTTGACCTTTTGCGTTCATGGTTCCATACATTCAATGAATGAAAGAATGACATTCTAAATATTCCGCGACGCTTCCCACAATTCCAACTTGTTTGGTTGTCCTTTGCAATATCCATAGATAGCATCACACAGGTTCTGATGTTCACAAAGGCCAAGGCTTCTTTGTTGTGTCCCAACACCCTCTACACGTTTTAACACACTGACTGTGCACCTGGGGTCAATGTCATGTTGAATGTGGGACCCCTTCCTTATGAGATGCAGCTCTGAGGAAATATCAAGGTAGATCAGAGCCTGTTTTTACCTGTCAGCAGTCGGGTTGCCCCTGATTTTATATGAATCCTGGACAGCCCAAGCTGATCACAATTGTACAGTTTGTAAAAACATTTATGAAGTTGCTCTTCACATTGTTTCATATGTCTTGCTTTCTTTTGGACTTTCCTCTCCATACCAAAAGGCTTCTAAGCAGCTACATGCCCCACTGTATACTGTTCTTGGAGAAACAATACCTCCTGTATTTGCAGCAGGGTCATTCATGAGATCTGTATGAGATTAACACCCATCTAGAGGACAATTTACAATTCACTACATTACAAACATAACATTGCATTCACATAACTCACACTCAAATGCCAAAAGAAGGATTCATTCATCATAATCTAACAAAGAGACCTCAGCTAAACATACAGGGGTGAATCCATTTTGGTTCAGTTCAAGTTCAGGTAATTAATGGAAACACATATAGCCGTGAGGAAAATGAAGACATGCCTACTGAATTTGTTATTTAGAAATCAAAGGAAATACAGTAGCAACATTTATAGTCTAGTATTTATATGACCTTGCAGATATTTTTAAGCTTTTGATGAAGCAAGGGAACAACATACTCCTCCCACTTATTCTGGCACAATTAATTCACCATTTTTAGAAAAAGATCAAACTTAAACACTGAAGGCATAATGACCTTCAATGCTATTCCATGCATTAATATTAGCAAAGCATTAGTGATAAACATCATTTAAAAATAACTGTCCAGCTGCCCAGTTTGCTGACTTTTGATATAGATTCTATATACATAATATTTGAGTACACAAAAAATAATAAAAAAAAGCTTTAGGGATGGGATGGGATGATTAAAGCAATGGGATGATTTTTTAGATCAGCCTTTTTAGATCAGAGGCATCAATAGAGTAGGTGGCTCTGTGAAAACACTTGATCTATGGTGGGTCTAAGGTTATTTGGTAGAAATAATTTAATCAATATCACAGAGTTAAAAGCTGCATGTTTAACATTTTGGAAGTTGAGAACATCCGGTGTATCTGTATCTGTTGAATATCTCCTGAATAGGAATATACATATTCAATTTACTGTATTATAATTAATGTTTTCCAATCATTCTGTATGAGAAAGTGGTTGCTTTAAAACCCTTTAACACTAATTGAAAATAAATATCAGGGTAATTCAAGATATCTTGACAAAGAATACTTCTGCCATTACAGAACCAGGTAAGGTTTCACAAATGAAATACCACAATTTTGGACTTCTATGCTGCAAGCTATGAAAGAAGAAATTAATATCTTTTTTCCCCTTATTACAATTCCTTTTGAAGCATGCATGTCATAATCTTCACAGAAGTGAGATGGATATCGTTTGAATGCCTGGAAGAAGTATTTCTTTTTCCAGATTTCAA